CAGCTGAGCCGCCTTGTACTTGTCGTCATACTTCCGAGCTAGTTCCTCCATCTGCCACCAGGGACCGAGCATTTGCATGTAGCACCCCAGCAGGCACCTCAATCAAAGCAGCTGAGCCGCCTTGTACTTGACGTCATACTTCCGAGCTAGCTCCTCCATCTGGCACCAGGGGAACAGGGAGAGAAGGTAGATATAGGCGCGTCTAAGAGGAGAACCTAGCTTCCCAGCCGACAGCTGAGCCGCCTTGTACTTGTCGTCATACTTCCGAGCTAGTTCCTCCATCTGCCACCAGGGACCGAGCATTTGCATGTAGCACCCCAGCAGGCACCTCAATCAAAGCAGCTGAGCCGCCTTGTACTTGACGTCATACTTCCGAGCTAGTTCCTCCATCTGGCACCAGGGGAACAGGGAGAGAAGGTAGATATAGGCGCGTCTAAGAGGAGAACCTAGCTTCCCAGCCGACAGCTGAGCCGCCTTGTACTTGTCGTCATACTTCCGAGCTAGTTCCTCCATCTGCCACCAGGGACCGAGCATTTGCATGTAGCACCCCAGCAGGCACCTCAATCAAAGCAGCTGAGCCGCCTTGTACTTGACGTCATACTTCCGAGCTAGTTCCTCCATCTGGCACCAGGGGAACAGGGAGAGAAGGTAGATATAGGCGCGTCTAAGAGGAGAACCTAGCTTCCCAGCCGACAGCTGAGCCGCCTTGTACTTGTCGTCATACTTCCGAGCTAGTTCCTCCATCTGCCACCAGGGACCGAGCATTTGCATGTAGCACCCCAGCAGGCACCTCAATCAAAGCAGCTGAGCCGCCTTGTACTTGACGTCATACTTCCGAGCTAGTTCCTCCATCTGGCACCAGGGGAACAGGGAGAGAAGGTAGATATAGGCGCGTCTAAGAGGAGAACCTAGCTTCCCAGCCGACAGCTGAGCCGCCTTGTACTTGTCGTCATACTTCCGAGCTAGTTCCTCCATCTGCCACCAGGGACCGAGCATTTGCATGTAGCACCCCAGCAGGCACCTCAATCAAAGCAGCTGAGCCGCCTTGTACTTGACGTCATACTTCCGAGCTAGCTCCTCCATCTGGCACCAGGGGAACAGGGAGAGAAGGTAGATATAGGCGCGTCTAAGAGGAGAACCTAGCTTCCCAGCCGACAGCTGAGCCGCCTTGTACTTGTCGTCATACTTCCGAGCTAGTTCCTCCATCTGCCACCAGGGACCGAGCATTTGCATGTAGCACCCCAGCAGGCACCTCAATCAAAGCAGCTGAGCCGCCTTGTACTTGACGTCATACTTCCGAGCTAGTTCCTCCATCTGGCACCAGGGGAACAGGGAGAGAAGGTAGATATAGGCGCGTCTAAGAGGAGAACCTAGCTTCCCAGCCGACAGCTGAGCCGCCTTGTACTTGTCGTCATACTTCCGAGCTAGTTCCTCCATCTGCCACCAGGGACCGAGCATTTGCATGTAGCACCCCAGCAGGCACCTCAATCAAAGCAGCTGAGCCGCCTTGTACTTGACGTCATACTTCCGAGCTAGTTCCTCCATCTGGCACCAGGGGAACAGGGAGAGAAGGTAGATATAGGCGCGTCTAAGAGGAGAACCTAGCTTCCCAGCCGACAGCTGAGCCGCCTTGTACTTGTCGTCATACTTCCGAGCTAGTTCCTCCATCTGCCACCAGGGACCGAGCATTTGCATGTAGCACCCCAGCAGGCACCTCAATCAAAGCAGCTGAGCCGCCTTGTACTTGACGTCATACTTCCGAGCTAGTTCCTCCATCTGGCACCAGGGGAACAGGGAGAGAAGGTAGATATAGGCGCGTCTAAGAGGAGAACCTAGCTTCCCAGCCGACAGCTGAGCCGCCTTGTACTTGTCGTCATACTTCCGAGCTAGTTCCTCCATCTGCCACCAGGGACCGAGCATTTGCATGTAGCACCCCAGCAGGCACCTCAATCAAAGCAGCTGAGCCGCCTTGTACTTGACGTCATACTTCCGAGCTAGCTCCTCCATCTGGCACCAGGGGAACAGGGAGAGAAGGTAGATATAGGCGCGTCTAAGAGGAGAACCTAGCTTCCCAGCCGACAGCTGAGCCGCCTTGTACTTGTCGTCATACTTCCGAGCTAGTTCCTCCATCTGCCACCAGGGACCGAGCATTTGCATGTAGCACCCCAGCAGGCACCTCAATCAAAGCAGCTGAGCCGCCTTGTACTTGACGTCATACTTCCGAGCTAGTTCCTCCATCTGGCACCAGGGGAACAGGGAGAGAAGGTAGATATAGGCGCGTCTAAGAGGAGAACCTAGCTTCCCAGCCGACAGCTGAGCCGCCTTGTACTTGTCGTCATACTTCCGAGCTAGTTCCTCCATCTGCCACCAGGGACCGAGCATTTGCATGTAGCACCCCAGCAGGCACCTCAATCAAAGCAGCTGAGCCGCCTTGTACTTGACGTCATACTTCCGAGCTAGCTCCTCCATCTGGCACCAGGGGAACAGGGAGAGAAGGTAGATATAGGCGCGTCTAAGAGGAGAACCTAGCTTCCCAGCCGACAGCTGAGCCGCCTTGTACTTGTCGTCATACTTCCGAGCTAGTTCCTCCATCTGCCACCAGGGACCGAGCATTTGCATGTAGCACCCCAGCAGGCACCTCAATCAAAGCAGCTGAGCCGCCTTGTACTTGACGTCATACTTCCGAGCTAGCTCCTCCATCTGGCACCAGGGGAACAGGGAGAGAAGGTAGATATAGGCGCGTCTAAGAGGAGAACCTAGCTTCCCAGCCGACAGCTGAGCCGCCTTGTACTTGTCGTCATACTTCCGAGCTAGTTCCTCCATCTGCCACCAGGGACCGAGCATTTGCATGTAGCACCCCAGCAGGCACCTCAATCAAAGCAGCTGAGCCGCCTTGTACTTGACGTCATACTTCCGAGCTAGCTCCTCCATCTGGCACCAGGGGAACAGGGAGAGAAGGTAGATATAGGCGCGTCTAAGAGGAGAACCTAGCTTCCCAGCCGACAGCTGAGCCGCCTTGTACTTGTCGTCATACTTCCGAGCTAGTTCCTCCATCTGCCACCAGGGACCGAGCATTTGCATGTAGCACCCCAGCAGGCACCTCAATCAAAGCAGCTGAGCCGCCTTGTACTTGACGTCATACTTCCGAGCTAGTTCCTCCATCTGGCACCAGGGGAACAGGGAGAGAAGGTAGATATAGGCGCGTCTAAGAGGAGAACCTAGCTTCCCAGCCGACAGCTGAGCCGCCTTGTACTTGTCGTCATACTTCCGAGCTAGTTCCTCCATCTGCCACCAGGGACCGAGCATTTGCATGTAGCACCCCAGCAGGCACCTCAATCAAAGCAGCTGAGCCGCCTTGTACTTGACGTCATACTTCCGAGCTAGTTCCTCCATCTGGCACCAGGGGAACAGGGAGAGAAGGTAGATATAGGCGCGTCTAAGAGGAGAACCTAGCTTCCCAGCCGACAGCTGAGCCGCCTTGTACTTGTCGTCATACTTCCGAGCTAGTTCCTCCATCTGCCACCAGGGACCGAGCATTTGCATGTAGCACCCCAGCAGGCACCTCAATCAAAGCAGCTGAGCCGCCTTGTACTTGACGTCATACTTCCGAGCTAGTTCCTCCATCTGGCACCAGGGGAACAGGGAGAGAAGGTAGATATAGGCGCGTCTAAGAGGAGAACCTAGCTTCCCAGCCGACAGCTGAGCCGCCTTGTACTTGTCGTCATACTTCCGAGCTAGTTCCTCCATCTGCCACCAGGGACCGAGCATTTGCATGTAGCACCCCAGCAGGCACCTCAATCAAAGCAGCTGAGCCGCCTTGTACTTGACGTCATACTTCCGAGCTAGTTCCTCCATCTGGCACCAGGGGAACAGGGAGAGAAGGTAGATATAGGCGCGTCTAAGAGGAGAACCTAGCTTCCCAGCCGACAGCTGAGCCGCCTTGTACTTGTCGTCATACTTCCGAGCTAGTTCCTCCATCTGCCACCAGGGACCGAGCATTTGCATGTAGCACCCCAGCAGGCACCTCAATCAAAGCAGCTGAGCCGCCTTGTACTTGACGTCATACTTCCGAGCTAGTTCCTCCATCTGGCACCAGGGGAACAGGGAGAGAAGGTAGATATAGGCGCGTCTAAGAGGAAAACCTAGCTTCCCAGCCGACAGCTGAGCCGCCTTGTACTTGTCGTCATACTTCCGAGCTAGTTCCTCCATCTGCCACCAGGGACCGAGCATTTGCATGTAGCACCCCAGCAGGCACCTCAATCAAAGCAGCTGAGCCGCCTTGTACTTGACGTCATACTTCCGAGCTAGTTCCTCCATCTGGCACCAGGGGAACAGGGAGAGAAGGTAGATATAGGCGCGTCTAAGAGGAGAACCTAGCTTCCCAGCCGACAGCTGAGCCGCCTTGTACTTGTCGTCATACTTCCGAGCTAGTTCCTCCATCTGCCACCAGGGACCGAGCATTTGCATGTAGCACCCCAGCAGGCACCTCAATCAAAGCGGAACCAGATTTCTTTTGAGGCGCCTCAGAAGTCATTTGCATGTAGCACCCCAGCAGGCACCTCAATCAAAGTGGAACCAAAATCGCCTCAATCAGGCACCTAAAAAATCGCCTCAAAATCGTTGCACTACAGATTTCCAGCAAGAAAGCGGACCCAGACAGATTCCCAGCAGAGATTTGAACCGCCTTGCACAATAGAAACCTGTCAACGTGCTCCCTGGGCTAAGATATTTTGGTGTTGCTTTTGGGAATTCTCAAAAGTAACACCGCCTTGTACAATAGAAACCTGTCAACGTGCTCCCTGGGCCGAGATATTCTAAAAACAGTAGAAGACGAACTGTTAGATCCAAGCTGTGAGAACTATGTGCATAAGGACTTGAAGCTCCCAAAATAAACAAACCTGCCTTTGTGATCACCAGTACTCTGCGGCCACGTCAGCATGCCCACCCCCTGTTTCCTCCACGTCAGCATGCTCACCTCCTTTTTCTCCACGTCAGCATGCTCACCTCCTTTTTCTCCACGTCAGCATGCTCACCTCCTTTTTCTCCACGTCAGCCTGTTCAGAGACGTCAGCAAGGCGGAGGTCACAGCGACTCTTGAACATGACCTGGAATGGGGGTAGGTGGATGGGATGTGAGACACACAGGCAGAGAGAATACTCTCTTGAGTTGACTCAGAGAGGCCACAGCGACTCTTGAACATGACCTGCAGTGGGGGAGGTGGATGGGATAGGATGGGATGGATGGGATGGGATGGGATGGGACACACACAGAGGAGGAAAAGGTCAATTTGAGAGACGTCAGCAAGGCGGAGGTCACAGCGACTCTTGAACATGACCTGCAGTGGGGGGAGGTGGATGGGATGTGAGACACAGACAGAGGAGACACACAAAAACGAACACACACACAGTATCTTTTCTTTGCGTTGACTAGAAAAGGTCACAGCGACTCTTGAACATGACCTGCAGTGGGGGTAGGTGGATGGGATGTGAGACACACAGGCAGAGAGAATACTCTCTTGAGTTGACTCAGAGAGGTCACAGCGACTCTTGAACATGACCTGCAGTGGGGGTAGGTGGATGGGATAGGATGGGACATGCATAGAAGAGGAGATATAAAGAGGAGAAAAAAGATTGAGGGACAGTGTCATCATCACCACTGATAGACGCCCTTACAATGCCACGTTTCTTACAGTGAAAACAACAGAAATTAAGGTGACCTTTGAGTCGACTCAAAAGTCACATGCATAGAAGAGGAGAGATACAGATTGAGAGGGACCGTGTCATTACCACACCACTGATAAACGCCCTTACAATGCCACGTTTCTTACAGTGAGGGACAGTGAAAACAACAGAATTTGATTGATTGCGACTTACAATCTCCTGCATTTTGTCACGGAAAAACACTGCCTTTTTCTTCTGATCCATCGCAGCGTCCTGAGCACACAGACAACAGGGGGGGGGGGGGGGTGGGGGGAAGAATTACAGAGCAGATTCGATGCACTGTGTGCAAGAGCACACATGCACGCACACATGTGCGTGCAAGTGCATGCACAAGAACACAGCCTTTTTCTTCTGATCCATGGCGGCGTCCTGAGCACACAGACAACAGAAATGGGAGGAAGGGGGGTTGGTAGTGGTGACATGACAGTACGGAGAAAAATCATTGCCAAGCGTGAACAAAGGCAACAAGGAAAATTCATTTCCTGGCGTGGTGGTGACATGACAGTATGGAGAGATTTTCATTTGCTAGAGGATTACCTTTCTGGGTGCACCTTTCGTTGGAGAGACCAGGACACCTGCAGGCAACGTGAACAGCACAAAATAGTCGAATTGAAGCAAGTTAAAACATGAATCAATCTCTAGTTGCTACACACGTCAGCTCCTTAGTTAAGGAGGCCTGGAATGGACAGCTGCACTAATGACAGCACACGGACAACAGCCCAACCCAAGAAACGCACAACATTTTCACGAAATCCAATCCGTGATTTCGGTGTGTGTTATTTGTTTTTAGGTGGGGGGAAGGGAAAGGGGGGGAGGGGAAGGTGGGGGTTGGAAAATGTGTGTGTGTGTGTGTGTGTGCGCGCGCGCGCGCGCGTGTGTTGGGGGGGGGGGGGGGAAGGGAGGGGGGGGTAGGTCACCTGGATCGCGCTGCCACGTTGGCACGTTCACCCCCTGCGTGTGCTGAGTCAGCGCCGCCTGCGCCTCAGCCAATCGTTTCGCAGCGATGGCCGTGCGCTGGTCCTGCACCGGTTCGTCCACGTGGAAGCCACGTGGCAGCATGGGCGGCAGCTTTCGTCCCGACTTGTAGCGCTCGATGAGGTAGGATGCGGTGCAGAACTCGCGGAGGGTCAAGTTGCCGTCCTTGTCCTCATCTGAGAGGTCCCATACCTGCTTGAGTACATCTGCAGGGGAATAGAAGAGAGATAGGGTTGGTTTGGGAAGGGTTGGGGTCCAAGGGCATGGGGAGGGAGGGAACACTCGATGAGGAGGTGGAGGTGCACAACTCGAGGAGAGTCAGTCAAGTTGCCGTCCTTGTCCTTATCTGAGAGGTCCCACACCTGCTTCAGCACGTCTGTGTGGGGACGAAAAGGAAGGAGGGAGCACTGATAAGGTGAGTGGGAGTGCAGAGTCACGGGCCACCCTTGTCCTCATCTGCTACGTCCCATACCTGCCACATCACTACATACAATACAGACCCATCTTTCTCCATCCTGCCCACACGAACTCACCAATTGGCACCTGAGACGCCATTAGCAACTTCCTCGCCTCCTTACCGGTGATATTGCCATCCCTGTCCCCATCCACGCCCACAAACACCTGCGCATACCGCTGTGCCTCCACCACACTCATTCTCGGCCATGGCTGGGGATCTCCCGGGACCATCAGAAACCCCTCGCCCTCCTGCCCCTGCGCCGCTCCTGCTGGTCCTGCCCCTTGCCCTGCTGCCCCTGCTGCTCCTTCTGCTGCTTGCCCTCCCCCTGCTGCAACCACAGCCGAAGACGCAGCAGCAACAGCAGGCACTACAGCCACGTCTTTCATCACAAACGCATCCAGAGCTGCTGCTGCTGCTGCGTCCGCGGATTTGGGTAGAGTGGAAGTGGGCGGAGCGGGACGGGAGGCGATTTGCTGGGGAGGAGGGGGTTGAGAGGAGGCGGAGAAAGCGGAAGGTCCAAAAGCCGAAGGTCCTGCTGTTCCCATCACCCCTCCCATCCCTCCCATCCCTCCCAACGCTGCCTGCTGCTGCTGCATCTGCTGCTGTCGCTGCATCTGCTGCTGCTGTTGCATGTGCTGCTGCTGCTGCATTTGCTGCTGCTGTTGCATTTGCTGCTGCTGCTGCATCTGCTGCTGCTGCTGCATCTGCTGCTGCTGCTGCATCTGCTGCTGTCGCTGCATCATCTGCTGCTGGTATTGCTGCGGCTGTGCAGCAGACGTCTGCGCGGCAGCACCCGTGACAACACTTTGGGCGGCATCACCCTTGGCGCCACTCTGGGTCTGGCCGGCACTCTTCTTACCCCCAAGCACGCCGAAATCCGCAAACGGATCCTTCTCTGCTGCAGGCTTGGCAGAATCAGGCTGCCAGGAAGGCCCGGATGCAGGCTGACCTGGCATTGACCCAGGCTGACCTGGCATCTGCCTAGGCTGACCTGGCATGGCGCCAGGCTGACCTGGCATCGTACCAGGCTGACCTGGCATGGCGCCAGGCTGACCTGGCATTGGAGCACCAGCAGGCTGACCACGGCCGTATGCAGGTCCAAGAGGTCCGGGTTGCAAGCCCCCAGGTGTGCCACTCTGCATGGTACCCTGCATACCTTGGCCATACTGCGGTTGCTGATACTGCTGCTGCTGCTGCTGCTGCTGCTGCTGCTGCTGCTGCTGCTGCTGCTGCTGCTGCTGCTGCTGCTGCTGCTGCTGCTGCTGCTGCTGAAACTGCTGCTGCTGCTGTTGCGGATACTGTTGCTGCTGCTGCTGCTGCTGCTGCTGCTGCTGCTGCTGCTGCTGCTGCTGCTGCTGCTGCTGCTGAAACTGCTGCTGCTGCTGTTGCGGATACTGTTGCTGCTGCTGCTGCGGCGGCATCCCTGGTCGAGGTCCCATTCCCCCCATCATTCCTCCTGGGCCCGGCCCCATGCCTCCCATACCTCCCATGCCCACCATAGGGCCCATGCCGGCCATCCCAGGCATCCCCTGCGGCATCGGGGCGCCTTGGACTGGCATTCCCCTTCCGTACGCGCCCTGCACGTTGGTAGAGCGGACGAAGGGATGGATAGTTGATTTTGCAGGGTCAAATTTGCAGTTGCAACAATTAAATACTCCTGATGATAAACAGCTGAAGTAAACCAACGCACAAAAACTCTGGGTGGACTTTCGAGTCGGACTTACCTCTGGTGTTCTCTCGGACTCACCTGTACTGGTGGGGGTCCTCCCGGTGCTCTAAATGGACCTTTGTTAAGTCGTTCTTACCTCTTCTGTTCTCTCGGAATTACCTGCTGCATTGGTGGTGGTGCTCCCTGTGCTCCAGGTCCGGATGCAACCGCACCAGCCGGACCTGGCGGCCCGCCTGGTCTGGCAGCAGCTCCGGGCCTCGGAGGCACGGTGATCTTAGGTGCGGGGATCTGAGCCACTGCCGGGCCTGAGAAGGTGGCTCGGGCGACGTCTGGGTTGATGTCGCGACCGGATTGGGCGACGGTGATGAGGCGAAGCGCGTGGAAGAACTCTGGGCGGTGGAGGAAACCGGCTTGGCGCGAATCCGCATACTGCCAGACCTGTGGAGCAAAGGGACAGAAAGAACGAATTGGCCAAATTGACTGGAATATTTAGCGGGTTATGATTCAAGGGCGTGGAAGAACTCTGGGCAGTGGATAAAACCTGCTTGGCGCGAATCTGAATACTGCCAGACCTATAGGGCGAAGGAACAACGGGAGAGGGAACAGGTGAAGCACATACGCGCCTTGGCAAGGGTCAACTTGGGGAGGCTGCGTCTGTGGAAAAAGGCTACAACTCAAAAAGCTAAAAAAAGGTAGCGAAAGGTAACAGCAGATACGCATTGGCGAGGGTCATCTGGGGGAGGCTGCATCCCTGACATAAGGCGACGGCTCAAAACATGCACAACAGCAAAAGGTATGACAGCAGATACATGCCTTGGCGAGGGTCATCTGGGGGAGGCTGCATCCCTGACATAAGGCGACGGCTCAAAACATGCACAACAGCAAAAGGTATGACAGCAGATACATGCCTTGGCGAGGGTCATTTGGGGGAGGCCGCATCCCTGGAAGAAGGCGACGGCTCAACAAGAGGCTAACAACAGGTGTAACAGCGAAAATGACAGCTAAAGGCTCACAACAGAGGTGTAACAGCGAAAATGACAGCTAAAGGCTCACAACAGAGGTGTAACAGCGAAAATGACAGCTAAAGGCTCACAACAGAGGTGTAACAGCGAAAATGACAGCTAAAGGCTCACAACAGGTGTAACAGCGAAAATGACAGCTAAAGGCTCACAACAGGTGTAACAGCGAAAATGACAGCTAAAGGCTCACAACAGGTATGACAGGAGCTGATACGTGCCTTGGCAAGGGTCATCTGGGGGAGGCCGCATCCCTGGAAGAAGGCGACGGCTCAAAAGGCTAACTATAGTCTAGCAGCAGATACATGCCTTGGCGAGGGTCATCTGGGGGAGGCCGCATCCCTGGAAGAAGGCGACGGCTCAAAAGGCTAACTATAGTCTAGCAGCAGATACGTGCCTTGGCGAGGGTCATTTGGGGGAGGCCGCATCCCTGGAAGAAGGAGACGGCTTCGGCGCCGCTGATCCGGCCATCCCTGTCCGCATCAGCCGCTTGGAAGTAGTGCTCGAAGGCGTCCATGCTGGGCTGCATGATGACCGTTGCTGCTCCGTACCGCAGTTCCCTGGGGGAAGTAAAAGAGAAGGGACAAATCATGCGGAAGTAAGGAGAGTAATGTCCCGCTGATCCGGCCGCCTCTCTCTGTCCGCATCAGCCGCTTGGAAGTAGTGCTCGAAGGCATCCATGCTGGGCTGCATGATGACCGACCGCTGCGTATCACACGGTTGCTGTGTAACACGCTATTCCCGCGTTAACAAGTGACTCCGCCGCACCGTTATTCCTGGGGGGGGTGAGAGACAGATTATGCAGAAGCAAGAAAACATCAGCGAGAGGTACCGCTGATGAGGCCGTCCCTGTTCGCATCAGCCGTTTGAAAGTAGTGCCGTTATTCCTCCGCGCTGATGTCCGTCCGTACCGCGCTATTCGTGCCGAGGTGTAAGAAAAAGAAACACGAATAGGGGAAGGTTCCTGCTGTTTTAAATCGATTAGATACGGGCCTAATGGAAGGCCCCAGTCTACAGCGTCAGGCGTCTGGAAACAATCACGGTATTGTGAAATGGAAAGTAGTCCCAAGAAAAAGAAGAGCAGAAACGAGAATATGAGATGCAGAAAAGACAGCATGGGGATACGGAACGAGAAAAGGAAACGTAGAAACGAGAACATTAGTTTCTTAAGAAATTATGGGTATTCAGACGCTAGCGAGGAGTCGAATGGCGACGTGAAAATATATTTGTTTTGAGACGTCTCAAAACAAGTTCATTGTCACGTCGGAACGTATAAATGCGCACATGAATATCTCAAGAAATCATAGGTATTCAGAGGCTAGCAAGTAGTCGAACGGTCTGATCCCCTTTCAACGAAAAAGACATTGCACATTGATCGAATTCTACGAACATTCGGCACGTCAGGAGCTCCTATGGACATCCATTGATAAACAAATTGACATAGACTCTGAAATTACGGACATGCCTGCAGCAATACCTGGCGACGCGGGCCCTGCAACTCTGTCACCGTCCTGGATGATGTAAGTGGAGTGCTGATTAGAGCTAAGCATAGATAAGAGAAATCGGGATTCTCCTTAACTCGGCAAGTTCTAGGCTGACTGTTCTCCCGACCACATCCCAAGGAACAGCAGACCAGAGCCTTGGCTTGGCTGCAAAATCCAGATCAGGGGAGAAATGAAATGGTGAATAGAATGGCAAAAATCTATCAGTAATAAATGGCGGTTGTACAAGCTTGCATTGTGTCGTTTACGTCTTTTACCGAGGATGGCTGAAGTGCCTATCGTAGAACTTGTCACATGCCCGAGTTGGATGCAGCTTGGTTGTGACTGGACCAGAGCAAGCAAATTCGCACACAACTCTGCCCGTTTCAAGCGTTACACTGCGACAGGGGGGGCTGAAACGGCTAATAACGAATTTGCCCGTAAAGGGCTACTTGTACCGAAATTCCGAGAATGTGGCCAATCCCTGACCAGGCCACCGCCAACGCATGTCCCTATCGTTCACTTCAAGAAAGAGATGCGAAGCGATAACTAGGCAGAAATCAAAGAATTGTCCGGGTTAATGTGCGGTTTTACAAGGTTCTGCGGGATTACAGGACACCTGTCCAGAACCACTTCCGAAGCATCCTCCCAAGTCTCGAGGATTCTCAGACAGGACAGTGGAGCCAACATCAAGGCAGAACCAAGGTAGAGCCAACTTCAAGGTGGAGAGGATCAAGACGACTGCTGGAGTTGAAGATTTCGCCAAATTTCCCAGCTTTTCTTCCTCCATTGTTTTAGACTCTTGGTTCTTCGCTTTCATATTCAGCAAAATTTAACTCCGTCTTGACAAACTATCGGCTCGATATGTCTCCATTCTCTGCATAATCATTACTCTTTTCAACATTTCAGCTGCTTCACGCGTTTGTTTTTTTATCGGGACCTCTGACATTGACGCGACCTCTGCAGATTCAGCAATCTGTAACAATTTCAGAGGAAGGGTGGATGTAATCGTAAGTTACCCTAGGAACAATCACCGCATTGCAATTATGTGGTCAGTAACAGGACTCCGCAGCAGCACAAGCACCGCTCCCAGCCTTAGCGATGATCCCGAGGCTTCAACACCCACAACAGCTCCCGCGGAAACCAAATCCGGGTGGTTCTCCCGCTCGCGCGGAAGCTCTAGCAGCGCGTCGTCCGCGCAAGATTCCACGCGCATTCGCCAGAGGCGGTCGGGTCGAAAAGTGCGAGGGTTCGGGCGTATGGGATCCGGTATAGAAGATGAAGAAGAGGAGGAAGATGAAGAGGAGGACGCTGAGATTGTGGGGGAGATTGTGGGGGGGGATTTGGCGGGTGAGGGTGGTAATGCTGTAGCGAGGACAAAGGACGACCTTTCGTCACCGAATTCAGGAGCAGCAGCAGGAGCAGGAGCAGGAGCAGGAGCAGAAATCGAAGGAACAAAAGCAGCAGCAGTAGCAGTAGCAGCAGCAACAGAGTCAGCAGCACATGCAAGCACGAAAGAAAAAGGTCCACTGGAAACTGAATCCGCAGTCAGCGTAGAATCTCCGAAGGCGAGCGAGACTGACAAATTGCCAGGAAGCAACACGAAGAGCAGCGACGACGGAGTCGAGACTTCTGACGACGGGCGGACGGCGATTCTTGAGTCGACTCAGGAAACGACTGAGAGCCCTGACGACGGGCGGAAAACGAAGACCGGCAGATCTAGTAGCAAGTCGAACCTGGTTGGGGGGTTGTTTGGCGTTTTTAGGAGGGATTCAGCGACTAAGTCCCAGAAGGCCTCGGCTGAGGGGAGGTTCTTTAAGAGCAAGAGCACGGGTGGGGCTCTTGGTGGGGGAACCAAGCGAGAGAACGGGGAGGATGAAGAAGAGGGAGAGGAGGGAGAGAGGCGTGAGAAGGGAGAGGAGAACGAGAGGGAGGAGGAGGAAGAACTAGAAAAAGTTGCTCTTGCAGGGAGGAGGCGAAGCACAGATGCCGAGCGAGGCAAGGGAGAGGATTCTGGTGTGGTAGAGAGAGAAGAGAAGGCGACAGAAAGCGCTGGGAGCGCGTCAGGTTCGGAACGTGGCTCGGTTTCAGGCTCGGCATCAGGTTCGGCGTCAGGTTCGGGGCTGGCTTCGGCGGATGGAGCAGTGCATGGGAGGGATGATTCGGAGGGCGAGTCCCAACCTGCTCCGCGGAAGGTAAGACTAGGGTTTGTGTTGTGCAAGCACGAGTGGAAGCACGAGTCAAGAACAAATGTGCGTACCCCACGTGTAGATACTGCCACGTGACTCCTGTTATGTGATGGTGACCTCAAGTGTTACACCGCCTGGCTTGCTGTGGCTTGAAACCCTTGACTTCTGAGGCCCCTAAAAAATGCACCACCTTGCTTCCTGTGTGACTTGCATTGCAACCTTCAATTCCTCTGCATGGTGCGAAAATATCAGTGCAACTTTTCCACTGTTGCTGTCTTGCATGGCAGAGGGAGACCCTGTGGGGATTCATCAGAAGGACGTCCAGCACCGTAGCAGGTGAGGCATTATACATAGAGAAAAGGTTCAGGTATAATGAGGCCTTTTGGTAATAGATGCATGGCGCATGAGGCGTATGGTGTATATGGGGCGTATGGAAAATGTGGGTGATATGAGTCAAGCACAGGAGGAGGAGGAGGCATTTTGACACGTCGGCATTTGAAACATATGCAGCTTCTGATTCCATTCCACATTGATCAAGCGACTCCTTCCTTCTCTCTCCATTCCCCTGATCTCTCTCCTTGCCCCCCAGTGTCCAAGGCAGAGGCGCACCAACCAATCATCTCCTCCTCCAGTCCGCCTCATGACCCCCCAACACCCTTGACGCCTCTCAAACCCTCCCTTCCCATTCCCCCTTGCTTTCCCGTTTCGCCTTTTATAACCTTTTCCCCATCCAGCGCCCAAGGCAGAGGTGCACCAACCAATAATCTCCTCCTCCAGTCCCCTTCACGACCCCCCCAACACCCTTGACGTCTTTCAGACCCTCCTTTCTCACTTCCCCCTGCTTTCCGTTTCCCCCTCTTTTCCTTTGGTCCCTCCTTCCCCCCCCAGCGCCCAAGGCAGAGGCGCACCAGCCAATCATCTCCTCCTCCAGTTCGCCCCATGACCCCCCCGACACCCTTGACGCCTCTCACACTCTTTCTTCCCCTCCTCTCCCTGCTTTCCCGTTTCGCCCTGTGTCCCTTCTCTCCCTCCTTTCCCCACCCAGCGCCCAAGGCAGAGGTGCACCAACCAATCATCTCCTCCTCCAGTCGGCCCCATGATCCCTCTGACACCCATGACGCCGTCTCACCATCCCTCCCTGGGGAAGAAGGCTGCGCTGAGGATATTCCCCTGACACCCTTGACGCCTCTCACACTCTTTCTTCCCCTCCTCTCGTTTCTTTCCCGTTTCGCCCTGTGCCCCTTCTCTCCCTCCTTTTTCCCCACAGCGCCCAAGGGAGAATCGCACCAACCAATCATCTCCTCTTCCAGTCCACCTCACGACCCCCCCGACACCCTTGACGCCGTCTCACCATCCCTCCCTGGGGAAGAAGGCCGCACTGAGGATTTTCCGGGCAGTTCTGGTGCTCGTGCTACACTCGGGCAGGACGGGCGTGAGGGAAAGGAGGAGGCAGGGGAGAATGATGGGCAGCAGGAGGGGAAGGAGGGCGGAGGAGAACGCGAGAGTGGTAGGGATGGGTTGGGGGTAGGGAAGGGGCCTTATCAGGAGGAAGATTCGGGGGCGTATAAGGGGGAGGATAAAGGAAGGGATAAGGGCAAGGAGGAGGGGGAGAGTGAGGGGAAGGGTCATGAGGAGAAGGAGGGAGAGGTTGCAGGAGGGAAAGCCAAGGGGAATGGAGGGGGGAGCGGAGGAGGGGCAAGAGGAGGGAAAGGAGGAGGGTTGCTGGGAGGAGGGAGTGTGGTTCTGAATGTGGGCGCTGTGCCTAGAAAGCTTTTCTCCTTCATGCCACGATCTTCCTATGCTAAGCTCAAGGTGAGTGGTAACGAGGGCTGGAGCACGGTTGAGAGTGGTTTAGAGGGAGTGTGGTTCTGAATGTGGGCGCTGTGCCTAGAAAGCTGTTCTGCTTCATGCCACGATCTTCCTATCTAAGTGACCATATACGCGTTTAGCGTATATACGCGTGTCGTATATACGCTCGCGTTTATACGCTATACGCAGAGGTCCCGAGACCCTCGATACGCTATTTCGGGCAGGTTTTAAAAAAGTTCGGGCAGCTAAATTTTGACCCCCCTGATATACTTCTGGGGTCAGTTTCCACAGGGGTTGGATTTCCCAGATTTTTTTCCCGACTCAAACTTATTCACCACCAACATTACAATGACACATACTCATCTCATACTACTACCACACATACTACTACTCACGCTACTCCATCAATAACGCCACCTACTCATACTCATCCTCCAGAATGTCGTCTTCCCCCTCCTCCTCCTTCTCGGAAACAAACCCACCTCCACACATTGAAGGCACGTCCAGGCCAGGGTAGACCTCGGACGTGCATTTCGAGCACGGCATCTTCTTCGCCGTGAAAAGACGGAACTTTCTAGATATACTCGAAAATTTTCGATTTTGGGCAGCCCAAAAAAAAACCCCCGAGCGTATTGCGTATTCGTTAGCGTATAGCGTTTTGCGTGTATACGCAAGCGGATAAACGCTATACGCTTAAAGGCAAAAGCGTTTTTGGTCACCTAGCTTCCTATGCCAAGCTCAAGGTGAGTGGTAAAGAGGGGTGGAGCTCGGTTGAGAGTGGTTAGGGGGGAGTGTGATTCTGAATATGAGCGCAGTGCCTAGGACGCTGTTCTACTTCATGCCACGATCTTCCTATGCCAAGCTCAAGGTGAGCGGTGGCGGAGCTCGGTTGACAATGGTCTGGGGAGGGTATCGTGGGGTGGTGCAGTTTCATAAACCAGGGAGTAAGCACTCTCAATATCATGGCGCTTCCTCTTCCAGTAAGCCTCTCTTCTTCTCTCTCTCTTCTCACTCACCAGTTGGAAGCACATGCAGGCCTAAATCTCCTCAACAATGCCTCTGGTTTTTTCGCACCTCAAATTTCTCTCCTTTTCCCATCCTCCCCCTGTTCCCCCTTTCTTCTTCTCTCTCCCCTCTCTGTTACCAGTTGGGAGCACATGCAGGCCTGACACCCCTCAACACCGCATTAACATCCTCCACTGATGATCCTACGCCCATCGCCACACCTATAGCCACACCCATACCAACACCCATCCCCAAAACCGTACCCCCTCGCATCCCCACACCCATCCGCACCACTGAATCCGCTGCTACTGCTGCTGCCACTGCTGCTGCCACCACTGCAAGCACTGCAGACAGCAATGCAGCAGGGAGATTGAACCTGGACCTACCCACGCCTCGCTTCCCCTTGTTCTCTCCTGCGGCGCTCCAGTCCCCTGCTGGAGACCTAGCCTCCTTTGCCCCCTTCCGCACCACCACAACCACCAGTGGTGGGGTTGCAGGTGGAGGGGATTTCTTAGCTGTTAAGAAAATCGCGCCACCAGTGCAGCATTCGGCAGCACCTCGCGGCCCTCTTGCTCCTGCTGGTGACTTTGCCGCGTTTGCTGCCTTTGGGAGCACTGCTTCCGACCCTTCAAGTCTAAACACGTCAACAAACCCTTTCTTGAGTGCTATGGCGGTCCCAGCAGAAGCAGCTGGAACAGCAGCAGGAGTGGCAGGAGTGGCAGCAGCAGCAGAGGTGGCAGGAGAGGCAGGAGTGTCAGGGTCCGCAGGGGTATCAGAGGGCGAGGATTGGGATGCCATGCTGCTTGCTTCCTTCGGCCGTTGTCACACCATCGACGGATCATTCAGAGAAGCCATGCGTGCTGCTAATGTGGAAGAGGAAACTGCATGGGAGGATCAGGCAGAAACGAAGCAAGCACAAGACGACGAAGCTCAAGACTTTCTAGCACAGAACATGCAGGTGCAAGGGGCTTTTGGGGCGTATGAGTTACTTCAGGAGTCAGGAGCAATCGCTGGTGGAAGGGGCTCAGCTGCAGGTGGATCTTCAGGTGGTTTTTCTGGTGGGAATGTGACCTGGGCGCATGAAAACAGCCTGGAAGCTGCAGAGGCAGCAGCAGCGGCAGCAGAGGCAGCAGCAGCAGCAGCAGCGGAGGCGGCCGCAGCGGCGGCAACAGTTGCTGCCAAAGCAGCAGCCACAGCAGCAGCTAAAGTAGCTGCACTTGCAGCAGCCAAAGCAGCCGCAGCAGCAGCAGGAGCACCACTACCACCACCAGCAGCACCAGCAGCAGCAGCGGTGCTCAGTGCAGCACCTGGGGGGTCAGGCAACAATGACTGGGCTCGTTTTGATGCCTTTGATTCTACCACAGTACCAATTGCAACCACCACTGCTACTACTACTACTGCTGCTGCTCCAACTTCTGGCTTTGGTTTTGGTTCTGCTCCTGCGGTTGCCTACGCTCCTCCTGCTCTTCCCAAGCCCATACCTGGGCCAAGTTTTCCCACCCCTCATGATTTTCCCAATCCCTTTTTGAGTCCAGACTTGAAACAACAGCCCTCAGCCCCAGCTACTGGTATGAGCTCCTTTGCACCTTCCGGAAATTCCTTGCATCTTCAACAGCATCAGTCACAAGCACAGCAACAGACCAATCCGTTCCTATCTCCAGGCACAAGCAGCATCGGCTCGGCTAATAAAGTGGGAGAATCTGAGCCCCTGTTTGCCAGTACAGGGGCTGCTTATAAAGAATCGTCTGCCGAGGCGCACCAGGAGGGACAATGGCTGGGGAAGCAGGAGGGGCTGTGGCAAAGCATGGAGCAAGGAGCTGGCTCCAAGGGGACTGGACAGAAACAAGCTGGTTCCAAGGGGACTGGGCAGAAACAAGGTGCTGCTTCGATGGCTCAGAAACAACCTGCTTCCATGGCTCAGAAGATTCTTGCCAGTAACCCATTCCTTGTGATTCCTGGCATGGGCAGTAGTGGTAACGGTGCTGGTTATAATGAGGATAGCAGGGGTTTGCTTGGTGGTGAGGATACTCCCAAGGGACTGCAGGAAGTATCGCCTGGGAATTTGCATACGAATCCAAGCAATCAGCAGCAGCAGCAGTGGCAACAGCAGTACTCACACCAACAGCTGCAGCAGCAGCACCACTCACAGCAGCAGCAGCAGCAGCAGTCGCTTTACACTGCTACTGTGACCCATACGACTGCGAAGCAGCATGAACAAGCTTGGCGGCCAACGGATGTGAATGTGGGGCTTAATGTGGCGGAAGGAGATGTGACTAAATCAGAAGGAGGTCCTAGTGAAGGGAAAGGCAGAAATGCTACAGCTGGACCAATATACACTGAGCCTGAGTCTCCAGGGTGGCCTAGTACTGCGTCTCAAGATGATCCACTGTAAGTTCACAGCAACTCCACGTCAAATCCATATGCATGTGTGTAAGTTTCCCCATTTTGTTTTGTGAAGCTGCACCCTGGGTGGAATCCCTCTCGACCACTGTACCAGTAACGTGCCTTGCACATTTTGCTCATATGTTGTTGTTATGTGTGTATTTATTTTCAGGGAGTCCCCTGCTGCGCTTCTTGGGGGCAGGTCGGATTCAAAGTCCAAGGTTTCAAGCACTATACCGACAGTCATGATGCCGTCAGCATGGCTCGGTCGAGGCAGTCACACACGACTCGGAAAGTAAGACACGGCACGACTAAGATTTTGCAATTATATGCTCCAGTTGCCATGGAGGTAAGAGACAAAGTACGTAGTTGAGTTTCAATAGTAGTTATACGCAAGAAACAACATTACAGGGCAGGCTAGCTAGTCTAGATGTATAATTGGGCGTCTGCATGGAAGGTCTACTTAGGGGTGAAGAACATGCTACAGTGTATCTAGATTTTCAATGTTATGTATTCGATATGGTATGCTGGGTATAGCGCTAATCGCAACTGCCTGTGTCGGTTACGTGACTCACGGCGTAGTGAGCGCTGGTTCTTGTGTTGTGGTGTGTTGGTCGGTCCCACCCAGTCTCCAGCTCCGCCACCACACTTTGACACGTCATCACCAGAGGTTATTCCAAGCACGTCTCAGCACGACAAACAGCGCGACGCGGTTTTGCTGGAAGAATGGCGACTCTTGGGAAACCCTCGCGTCGCAAATTCTGAATTCCTCGCACAATTTCGGTTTGTGCGCCCCAAATGTCTCCTCCTCTCCTCCGCCCCAACTCTGCACACGAAGCAGCAGCTCACTAGCGGCACGGCACGCCAGCACCTGGTTGTTGTGGTGGTGGTGACTTGTGAAATGTCAGGAGGGGTCAGGGCTGCTTCTGTTCTGGGTTCTCATTTAGGCCCCGACCCCAATCCCTCCATGTTCCTGATTCGCGTCCCGGAACACCAACTCGAAACACCCTCCCAAGCACTTACCTACCTAATCAGTCAAGCCTAACTAGCCAAAAAGAACCTTCCCCAGAAACGCATTAGCTAGCCTAGCCATCTGCTTCGTCTTCTAGCGTTTGCTGACGAAAGCCGGCCCGTCTTTCCGTCCGTCCGTACGTACCTTGCCAGAATCTCTTAGCGCGTTCACCACCACGCGTGTCGGTTGCGGCGCAACTATTTACGTCTCACACGATGTCGTTTCGCTAGTACCTCTCGTACTCACACTCTATAACGAGATATCTCAGCACGTTGCTGGATACGCAATGTATCAATGAAACGGCCATCAGAGGTGAAATAGAGTGAACTGGATTCACGTCGTTTCGCCAATACCTCCCGTACTCGCACACTAGAACGCGTCACCTCAGCACGTCGCTGGAAACGCAATGTGTCAACGAAACGGCCGTCAGAGTGAAATAGAGTGAAACGAGCTGCATTAGAGTGAAATAGATCAACCGGGCAAAGGGACCGAGCTACCCTCTGCACGTGAAATGGCTACTTCCCGTTTTCGCCTTCTCGCAGAAGCCCGCCCATGCCGTGCGAATGGGAAAGACGCGCTCGACTTTCGACGACAGCTAGCAGCCCGAGAAAAAGGGCTTCAATACGCTTTTGCTCCTATACGATCTCAGCGTCGTTCGACCGTCTCTCCCTCGCTCCTCCGTCTTGTTCAAATGCTAGCCTTGCCACTACTAGCAGTCCTGCTCCTCTTTCCGGGAATCATCCCGCCATGTCATGCCGCTCACACCGTTCCTCTTTCCCAACATAGAGTTGACTCCAGCGGCGTTGCAAGCATGCAAGAGCCGCAATTCAATAGTTCTGGTCGGGGTGCTTCGACACGCGAGGAAATGGGCGGCGTGGCGACTTTTAAGTCGACTCAAAAGGTTCATGGGAAGAAAAATGCGCCAGAAAATACAACCAGCCTGGTTGATAATATGGTTTATAGTAAGCAAACAAAACAGTCAAGAGGCGGGTTGCTACATATTGTCGCGACACCTTCCAGCGCGAACGCGTCTGGTAGTTACACGGGAGTCGTACGAAAGAGCTCGTCTCTCGGGTTACCAGCGACCAACGCGACATTAGCGACGTCCGCGACGGGTCCCCGGCGCGAGCTTCAGCTGTGGCGAAAGCGCAAGCCGCGAAAGCGAAAGAGTTCGTACATCTTCTGTTACCGGGACATGTACACGCGGCAACCAGCGGCTCTCGCGGCGGTAAACGCGGGCCGCAATCGGCGGCGATGCCCCAGCGGGACCGTGGGAAGCGCGGGAGCGTGCTACGACCGTTGCGCCGCGGGGTATAAGGGGAAAGGCCCGGTGTGCGCGCGGCGGTGCACGCTGTACGGGCCTAGCTGGGTGGACTGCGGGTATGGCTGCGCGCCGGACTACCACATGTGCGTCAAGACGACGTACCGCCAGGCTGGGGCTTTCTCATTCTTCTTCTTTAAGGTATGTGCCTTCACGCCCCTCTCCCTCCTACTTCACCTCCCCACCTCCTCTTGCCCCCTTCCTCTCGTCCCCTTCCTCTCGCCCCTCTCGTCTCGCCTATTTGGGTGGCCTAGCTGGGTGGACTGCGGGTATGGCTGCGCGCCGGATTACCCCACGTGCGTCAAGACGACGTACCGGCAGGCGGGGGCTTTCTCATTCTTATTTTTCAAGGTGTGTGCCCCCTCGCCCCCCTAGCTTCCCTCCTTTCTTTCTACCACATGTGCGTCAAGACGGCATACCGCCAGGCGGGAGCTTTCTCATTCTTCTTTTTCAAGGTGTGTGCCCCCTCGCCCCTCGCCCCTCTACCTTCGCGCCCTCGCCCCTCGCCCTTCGCCCCTCGCCCCTCGGCCCCCTTCCCTTCGCCCCCCTCCTCTTGCCCCTCGCATTTGGCCTAACTGGGTTGCTTGTTTTGAGAATCAAATCTTCCCCACCCACTCACCCTCTTCTCGCTCTCCCCCACTCCCCCCCTTCCAAACCCACCGCATCACACCTATACTTACCCTTTTCCACATTCCCATGAAGCTGGGTGCCTTGTTTTTAGACTTGAACCAAGTCGTAACACGGTTTAGCTCGGTTGAACATGAAGCTGGGTGCCTTGTTTCCTCCTCCCTCATCCCTCCTCAGGTCTACCTACCGGGAACAGGCCCTTTCTTTGACATTGCCATGAAGCTGGGAGCCTTTCTTTCTTACTTTGAAGTGCCAGAACACGGTCAACACAGTGTCTCTCCTCTTCCCCTGCCCTCCCCATATCCCAGCTCTACCTACCGGGAACAGGCCCTTTCTTCGACATTGCCATGAAGCTGGGAGCCTTTGCGGCTAAGGTACGGCACAGTACGGCATGTTTTGGCACGGAACGGCATGGTATGGCATGGTATGGCACGGTACGGCACAGTATGGCACGGTATGGGAACGGCGCACATGGCATGGCATTGAATGGTATTGCATGATGTTTCGCTGTAGGGTACTGATCTTACTGTAGCCACCTCATAATCAGACCTATTTTCCTTTTTCCTACTTACTCAATCAACAGCTATACAGGCGAGTGAAGCCGTCCAAGTACAGGAAGCGCAAGGACTATTCCAGTATCGAGCTGCCCACCTGCCTTCTTCTTTTCCTCTTTCTTTCTATTATGGTCCCGCCTTAATCAACAGCTGTACAGGCGAGTGAAGCCGTCCAAGTACAGGAAGCGCAAGGACTATGCCAGTATCGAGCTGGCCACTATGGAGTCTCGAAGCCTGGCCGCCACCTTCCTTGCTGCGTTCGGCGAGCCCGTCAGCAACGACAGCCGCACGCACGTCACATTGGTCTCCCCGCATGCCCAGGTATTTCTCTCCCTCTCTCTCACCCTGCAAGACGGGGGCACCCACGTGTTGGGGGGTAGGGGAACACTGAGTGCTACGCTGCTTTCTTGGAGTCTCGAAGCCTGGCCGCCACCTTCCTTGCTGCGTTTGGGGAGCCCGTCAGCAACGACAGCCGCACGCACGTCACCTTGGCTTCCCCGCATGCCCAGGTAGGTTCCTCCTTCTCCCTCCAAGGTTTCATATGTGAGGGCACTGGTATCAGTGGTGAGGCTGCTAGACACGGTGGTGAATGTGGTGGACTTGCCTCGTTCCCTACTAGGGTTTTGAGTTTGGGGACCCACGGTAGGTAGTACCTCCCTACCACCCTACTTCCTTCCCTCCTTCCCTCATCAATGAGTCGTGTTTCGAGTCACGACTCATGATCGGTGGTGAGGCTGCTAAACACGGTGGTTAATGTGGTGGACTTGCCTCCTTCCCTCCTTCCCTCCTTTGCAGGACAAGCAAGCAGCATTCTCCACCTTCCGCGCCTCCCACTCAGTGATGAGCCAACCCATTGGGAAAGCAGCGAGAGCTCTGGTATTGGCAGTGCGACTGCTAGAAACGGTGGTGAATGTGGAGGACTAATTTCATCGCTCCCTCCCTCTCCCTCCTTTGCAGGACAAGCAAGCAGCGTTCTCCACCTTCCGCACCTCCCACTCAGTGATGAGCCAACCCATCGGGAAAGCAGCGAGAGCTCTGGTATTGGCAGTGCGACTGCTAGAAACGGTGGTGAATGTGGAGGACTAATTTCATCGCTCCCTCCCTCTTCCTCCTCCTTTGCAGGACAAGCAAGCAGCATTCTCCACCTTCCGCGCCTCCCACTCAGTGATGAGCCAGCCCATTGGGAAAGCAGCGAGGGCACTGGTATTGGCAGTGCGACTGCTAGAAACGGTGGTGAATGTGGAGGACTAATTTCATCGCTCCCTCCCTCTTCCTCCTCCTTTGCAGGACAAGCAAGCAGCGTTCTCCACCTTCCGCGCCTCCCACTCAGTGATGAGCCAACCCATTGGGACAGCAGCGAGAGCTCTGGTATTGGCAGTGCGACTGCTAGAAACGGTGGTGAATGTGGAGGACTAATTTCATCACTCCTTCCCTCTCCCTCCTTTGCAGGACAAGCAAGCAGCATTCTCCACCTTCCGCGCCTCCCACTCAGTGATGAGCCAGCCCATTGGGAAAGCAGCGAGAGCTCTGGTATCAGCAGTGAGGCTGCTAGACACGGTGGTGAATGTGGAGGACTTGGCCAAGTACAACCCGTCGGGAGTGCTCAACATGGTGGTCTCCTTCGGCCACCCCATGTGCCGCAACGGTGAGGGTGGTAAGGCAAGGTGGTACGGCAGTATAGGGGTAAGGGACAGTGAACGAGGGCGTTGGTATCAGCCGTACGATTACTAGACACGGTGGTGAACGTGGAGGACTTGGCCAAGTACGACCCGTCGGGAGTGCTCAACATGGTGGTGTCGTTCGGCCACCCCATGTGCCGCGATGGTGAGTGATGGGCAGAGAGTAGGTGGGTAAGGCACAGTGAGGGTATAAGCTTTAGCATCAGCAGTGCGATTGCTAGACACGGTGGTGAATGTGGAGGACTTGGCAAAGTACGACCCGTCGGGAGTGCTTAATATGGTGGTGTCGTTCGGCCACCCCATGTGCCGCGATGGTGAGTGATGGGCAGAGAGAGGGGATGCGGGAAGGGACACGAGGGGGAGGGATAAAAGGTCCAAGGGTTTGAAATGGGAGGACTTGGCCAAATACCACCCGTCAGGGGTGCTTGATATGGTCGTGGCGTTCGGCCACCCCATGTGCCGCGATGGTGAGAGCGGTTGGATGTGGGTGGCAGGACAGTATGGGGGTAAGGGACAGTCGATAATACTGGAGAACTACCACACTTGTATCAACAGTGCGGCTGTTAGCCACGGTCGTTCGGCCACCCCATGTGCCGCGATGGTGAGTAAGGGACAGGTCCTGGGCCTTGTGGGTGGGGTGGTGGGGCATTATGGACCCGTCGGGAGTGCTCAACATGGTGGTGTCGTTCGGCCACCCCATGAGCCGCGATGGTGAGTAAGGGACAGGGCCTTGTGGGTGGGGTGGTGGGGAAAGCAGAGCAGAGCACTGCTCTGCCCTGCCTTTTGGAGGGCAGAGCAGTGTGGTGAGAGGGGAAAGGGACAGGCAGCACACGCCACGTGCTGAGCACACACACACACACCATGTTGGCATGGCACATGTTGCTCTAGAGTGCTCCACTCCACATAGTGCTGCCCTTTGGCCAACCCGTTACCCATGTGCCATGATGGTAAGAGGGCTAATCAGACTCCAGTGCCAAGTGTGTAACCGCCGGGTGTTTTTGAGAATTCTCAAAAACACCCTGCAGCATGATGGTAAGAGGGCTAATCAGACTCCAGTGCCAAGTGTGTAACCGCCCAAGCAACCCCTTACGACGTCGCCCAGTGCTCCCCTGTTCAACCCTTCCCTCTCCCTTTGTTCCTTCCACTCTATCCTCCCCCTCTTCCCTCCCCTTACTCTCCCAGATGCCTGCGTCAAGTGTGTAACCACCCGGGCCACTCCCTGCATCATCGCCCCCACGTGCAGTTCTCCCTTGTAACCCTCCCTTCCCCTCTTCCCTCCCCTCTCCCCTCCCCTTACTCTCCCAGATGCCTGCGTCAAGTGTGTAACCACCCGAGCCACTCCCTGCATCACCGCCCCCACGTGCATAGCCGGAAAATGCGTGAATCTCGGGCAGAAAAAAGACGGATCCGCCTGCGCGGATTTCGACTGGGGCGGCAACTCCTACACGGGCCACTGCCAGGCTGGCAAGTGCGTCAGCAAGGCCGTCCAATCGTATTACGCCAGCAAGCAGGCGGACAAGCTGTGGATTCCTGAGGGTTATGAGGCGCCGAATGTGACTATAGCGGTGGATCGGGGAGTGTATGCGACGAGTGAGCGGGAGTATATGGAGACGAGCTTGGGGTATTGGGATGAGTTGGCGCGGGAATCGGAGACGTGCTCGTTGAACAACGGCGGATGCGGGTCGCTGGTGTGTCAAGTTGATGTGGAAAGGAAGACGACTGTCTGTATCGATCCTCACGGTAAGCCACAGTCCGGTATATGGAAACGAGCTTGGGGTGTTGGGATGAGATGGCAAGGGAATCGGAGACTTGCTCGTTGACAACGGCGGATGCGGGTCGCTGGTGTGTCAAGTTGACGTGGAGAGAAAGACGACCGTTTGCATCGACCCTCATGGTAAGCCAGAGTATATGCAGACGAGCTTGGGGTATTGGGATGAGCTCGCGCGGGAGTCGGAGAGTTGCTCGTTGAATAATGGCGGATGCGGGTCGCTGGTGTGTCAAGTGGACGTGGAGAGAAAGACGACCGTTTGCATTGACCCTCATGGTAAGGAAAGCAGGATGATAATCTGTTTGTATTGACCTTCACGGTAAGCCACAGTATATGCAGACGAGCTTGGGGTATTGGGATGAGCTCGCATGGGAGTCGGAGAGTTGCTCGTTGAATAACGGTGGGTGCGGGTCGCTGGTGTGTCAGGTGGATGTGGAGAGAAAGACGACTGTTTGCATCGACCCTCATGGGTAAGGAAGCCAGGGAGGTGTGGTGAGGAAAGCAGGGTAATGAGATGATAGTCATGGTAAGGACCGCATGTGCGGATTGGAACGAGTTTGGGGTAATGGGATGAGCTGGCGCGGGGGTTGGAGACGTGCTCGTTCAATAACGGCGGATGCGGGTCGCTGGTGTGTCAAGTTGACGTGGAGAGGAAGACGACAGTTTGCATCGACCCGCACGGTAAGAACAGTAGCCGGTTGGACATTCCTTGGGGCTTGGGGTATTGGGATTGAAGAAGTGTTTTGAGACGTCTCAAAACACTTCTTCAATCACGTGGCTATTCTTTTGAGACTTCTCAAAACACTACAGTTTGCATCTACCCGCACGGTAAGAACAGTAGCCGGTTGGACATTCCTTGGGGCTTGGGGTATTGGGATTGAAGAAGTGTTTTGAGACGTCTCAAAACACTTCTTCAATCACGTGGCTATTCTTTTGAGACGTCTCAAAACACTACAGTTTGCATCTACCCGCACGGTAAGAACGGTTGGACATTCCTTGGGGCTTGGGGTATTGGGATGAGTTGTGGGAAGAGCTGGCGCGGGAATCGGAGACTTGCTTGTTGAGGGAAGGACAAGGTGCATCGATCCTCACGGTAAGCCATCGTGTTGGGACGGGCGTAGGGTACTGGGATGAGCTGGCGAGAGGGTCGAAAAGTTGCTTGTTGAACAATGGCGGATGCAGATCGCTGGTGTGTCAAGTTGATGTGGAGAGGAAGACGACCGTTTGCATCAACCCTCATGGTAAGTAAACCAGGGTGAGAGTACTGGTAATGAGAGCAGGGTGAGAGTACTGGTAATGAGAGCAGGGTGAGAGTACTGGTAAGGAGAGCAGGACAGCAGGTGCGGTTCACTGGTGTGTCTGTGGATGTGGAACGAAATACGACGGTTCGCATCAATCCTCATCACAAGGAAGGAGAATGATGGTAATGGCAAGGAGCACAGGTGGTACGCATGGCAAGGAAAAAGGGGTAGTACTCAGGTAAGGAAATAGGATGCGGATCGCTGGTGTGCCGAGTGTATGTGGAGAGAAAGTCGAGCGTTTGGGTGAGTGTTTTTTAATCACCCATGCTCTTTTGAGTCGACTCAGGAGCCATCTCCTGCTGCTCCATCCAGCCCTTTCTTTTGAGGCGCCTCAAAAGTCCTGCTGCTCCATCCAGCCCTTTCTTTGCTATGCCTGATGACCCCAAGTCCCGTTTCTATCACTTATTCGTCGTGTGTCAAGCATTCAGCTCCTTCCCTCATTCCCTACTTATCACATCATCCACTCCAATCCAGGTCACGGCTTTGCACCTGCCCCTCCTGCGATCGACTTCCCAACTGCCACCAACCTAACGTATCATTACCCGCTTCACCCATTGGCGTGTATGGAGCAATGCAAACTTGATGTACGGTGTAACCTCGTGGTTACCACACGCGCTCATGAATGCTGGCTCAAGGGCGGCGAACTTGGACTCCCAGTTGAAGCCGATCGATCAATTCAGGCTTATAAGAAGTTAAGTACCAGTAGTGCTGGCACAACTATTAGTATAGAGTTGAGATATGTGGTCACAAATCAAGATGTAGAGGAAGAGGATGGTAGGGAGGGAATAAGTGGGAACGCTGTTTTCCTTGTAGGTGCATCAGTGGGGGTACAAGATGGGCCTTAGTTGTTTCCATTCCATCAAAATTGTTGTACAATAAGTTGTAGTATAGTAGTGTTTTCTATCCAGGAGAAAAACTGCTACCATGATTGTGCTACGAGCTTATAAGGAATCGGTGGCATTCAAGATACAATAGTAATCTCGAGAGAATCTCCTAGCGAAATGAATACATCGGGAATCTCCTAAAAGGAATCGGTGGCATTCAAGGGATTGAAAGTCCAAGCTCCAACACATCTCTGTGCATTACTGCCGCGCCGCCACGTACTTGCGAAATAAATACCTCGGGAATTCTAGACACTACATTTCGTGAAGACTCACCACAATTGAGGCAGCCAAGCTGCCTTCCCCCGTCTAAGTACCTGCGTCCCGTAATCTTACTCCGTACGATTATTGCTTGAATTCTGATCCTGAGGGTGATGGCTTCCGAATCGGCCACCAGCTTTAGGAATCTCACCAACCCGGCGCGGCGAGCCGTTCCCAAAGGCCCAAACGACGCTGCTAAGGGTGAAGGAGTCAGCCCTGATACGACATCCGTTGACCGCCACTCTCTATCCTCTCTAAGAAATGATTCGCATTCGCAGTCAAATGAAGCATCTTCTACAATGTATAATAACAGCAGAAATAACAACAGAAGTAACAGCAGTTCGCGAGCTTTCCCCGCCGCTCGAGTATCGCTCCCTGGCGGAGCGTTTCCCGTCGGCGTCGCAGCGTTCGCAGTCGCCGTCGCGCTCGCGAAAACCTCCTCTCTGGTCATCCGCTTGACGACGACGACGACGACGTCGCCGGCGCAGTCGCTTGCCGTCGCATCGCTCGCCGCCGTCGCCGTGATCCTCCTTGCGATCTTCGTACTGCTTCTTCTCCACCTGCGCTCTCTCGTGCCGCGATCAACGGCGGGAATTTCGGAAAAAGATCCTGGGGGAGATGGACAAATGGAAGGGAGGGGGGAGAGTGGCGTAATGAGTGAAGAGGGGGAGAGAAAAGGTGGAGAGGGAAAAAGAGGGAAACAAGTAGAGGCAAGGGGAGACGAGGGAAAGGAAAAGAAGGGAAATGCAGAGAAGGAGGAGAGGGTGAGAGGCTTACGGGAAATGCAAGGTCCCCCTGTGCCGTGGTGGCTTCGGATGGTGGGAGTGGTGGGGAATGTGCGGGAGATCGTGAGCAAGGGTCATCACCAGTGCCACGTGGACTGGATGGCTGCACACGGCCACCTCTACTCGTGAGTCTACGCTACGGTGCTGTGCGGTGCTGTATGGTTCTGTGCGGTGTGATACGGCCCTGTGTGGCGCTATGTGGTGCGCTGCAGTCATGTGTGGTGCTGCGGTGTCCCGTGGTGGATTCAGGCTGTGAGGGTGGTGGGGAACGTTCAAGAGATCGTGAGAAAGGGTCATCACCAGTGCCACGTGGACTGGATGGCTGCACACGGCCACCTGTACTCGTGAGTCTAAGGTGCTGTATGGTGCTCTGCGGTCATGTGTGGTGCTGTGCGGTGCTTTGCGGTAACGTGTGGGAGATCGTGAGCAAGGGTTTAGGGACTGGATGGCTGCCCACGGCCACCTGTATTCGTGAGTGTAAGGTGCTGTGTGGTGCAGTGCGGTTGCGTATGGTGCTGTGCAGTGCTGTGCCATGGAGTGTTGTCCCCTGCTTGCACAAAGAACATCCTTTGTTGTGCATTCAAAACCATCCACGATTCCCAACACCCCTGTCACCTCTGTCCCCCACCCACCCACCCGCCGACCCACCCTTGTTTTTTCTCCGCCCTGCCCGTCTTCCACCCTTCCATCAGCTACTGCTACGGCCCTCAAATGTTAGTTTTATGTGGTGGCAGTGTCATCCCTTTTGCTCGTGAAGGAGGTTCTGCTTCGCCGGTTCAAGACATTCCACAATTGCCCCGTGTCTACCTGGCCTCCCTGTCCTCCCTGTATCGTACCCCCTGCACTCCCACCTGCCGTCCCATCAGCTACTGCTACGGCCCACGCCGAGTGGTGGCAGTGTCCTCCCCTGCACTCGTGAAGGAGGTTCTGCTACGTCGCTTCAAGACCTTCCACGACCGTCCCATACCTCCCACCCTGTCCTCCCCGTCTCGTGCCCCCCATCCCCCTCCCGTCCCCTCCCCTCTTCCCATCAGCTACTGCTACGGCCCTCGCCGGGTCGTGGCAGTGTCCTCTCCCGCTCTCGTGAAGGAGGTTCTGCTACGTCGCTTCAAGACCTTCCACGACCGCCCCATACCTCCCACTGCCAGCCCCACCACTGGCCGGGGGCTGCTGTTCGCCCGGTGAGTGTCCCTTGTCGGGCTTGTGACCCTCCCGTCCCTCATCCCCTTGCTTGCACCACTGGTTCACTCTGAACTGAATCGCCACTGCCTCTCACCATCGCCCCATACCTCCCACTGCCAGCCCCACCACTGGCCGGGGGCTGCTGTTCGCCCGGTGAGTGTCCCTTGTCGGGCTTGTGACCCTCCCGTCCCTCATCCCCTTGCTTGCACCACTGGTTCACTCTGAACTGAATCGCCACTGCCTCTCACCATCGCCCCATACCCCCCACCGCCAGCCCCACCACTGGCGGGGGGCTGCTGTTTGCTCGGTGAGTGTCCCCCACATTCCCCATCCCCATCCCCAACTGCTGTGGGTTCACTTCAAACTGAATCGCCACTGCTTCTCACCATCGCCCCATACCTCCCACTGCCAGCCCCACCACTGGCCGAGGGCTGCTGTTCGCCCAGTGAGTGTCTTTTGTTCATTCGGACAGTGTCCGCTGGTGCCTCTGCTTGCCCATGGCTGCAGTTTGCACCACTTCTGTGGGTCACTTGGTTCACAGCAGTGGTTTGCACCATACTTGCCCCACACCTCTCACTGCCCCCCACACCTCCCACTGCCAGCCCCACCACTGGCCGGGGGCTGCTGTTCGCCCGGTGGGTGTCTTTTGTTCATTCGGACAGTGTCCGCTGGTGCCTCTGCTTGCCAATGGCTGCAGTTTGGTTTTGAGGCGCCTCATAACTAGTTTTGAGGCGCCTCAAAACTGCTGTTCGCCCGGTGGGTGTCTTTTGTTCATTCGGACAGTGTCCACTGGTGCCTCTGCTTGGTGACTTTTGAGTCAACTCAAAAGTCACCTCATTCGGACAGTTTCCACTGGTGCCTCTGCTTGCCCATGGCTGCAGTTTGCACCACTTCTGTGGGTCACTTGGATTCTCCAACAGAAATCCACACTCGCCCCATACCTCCCGTCCCACTGCCAGCCCCATACCTCCCACTGCCAGCCCCACCAATGAGTTTTCCTCCTCTCCCTCATCCCTTTGCTTGCACCACTGCCTGTGGGTTGTCTCTTGACTTAATCACCACTGCGTCGCACCTTCTTTCCACTTCTCTTCTCCCCTCCGTTTCTCCACAGGGGTAACCACTGGGCTGGTTTGAGGAGCGCTCTCACGCCCATGTTCCACCGCTCCACCCATCTCCACTCCTTCCTTTCCGGAATGCACCGTTCCGTTCTCCATATGCTGCTGCTGCCGCTGTGGGATGTGACACAAACGAGGGGAGGGAGGGAGCGAGGGAGAAAGGGAGGAGGGGTGGGGGGAGGAGGAGGGGGTGGGCGGGCGTGGGAGGAGGGAGCGAAGGAGGGAGGAAGGGGCGAGGAAGAGGGGAAGGAGAACCGAGAGGAAGGGAGAGGAGTGGGAGAAGAGGGATGGGCGGAGGTGGATTTAATGGGCATGTTTGAAGCAGTGGGGCTGGCGTCTATTGGCTCTGCTTGCTTTGGTGAAGACCTGTGGTTTCAGCAGGACACAACTGCTACACTCACAGCTGCGACAGCCCACACTGAGGCAAACAAGCAGGCAGGGACGAAGCTAGGGGCGCACAGTAGCACTATCGACCCTGCTCCTCCTCACACCACGTTACCACCACACACAGCAGCACACTCCACCGCACCACACACTGCTGCACCGCACACTGCCTCCCTGGCTCGTGCATACGGGGCGAACAAGCAGGCAGGGGCGAAGCTAGGGGCGGTCCCATCGCTGCTCCTGGCCCTCTCCCCTGCGTGCCTGCACCCCTGGGTGCATGCGCTGCTGGGTGTGCTGCCTGGGAGCACCGTGGGTGCGGCGAGGGAGAGACACCGAGAGCTGATGCTCGAATGGAAGGTGAGGAGGTTTGGGTGTGTTGTACTGCGTCCCATCACTCCTCCTGGCCCTCTCCCCTGCGTGCCTGCACCCCTGGGCGCATGCGCTGCTGGGTGTGCTGCCTGGGAGCACCGTGGGCGCTGCGAGGGAGAGACACCGAGAGCTGATGCTCCAGTGGAAGGTGAGAGGGTTGAGTCTAAGGTGTTGATTACAGTGCCTGGGTTTTGATTTGTTTTGAGGCACCTTGAAAACTCCTCGTTTCCCCCCAACACTCCTCACGTCCTCCCCTCCACTTCCCACGTCTCTCATATCCCCTCCACAAACCTTTTCCCTCCCGACTCCTCTCCTCACCAGCGGATGTTGGAAGCAAAGAGGCAACAACCGTCTCAAGGCAACAGCAGTGCTGCTGATATACTGACCTTTCTCAAAAGGTACGTCAGGGTGGAAAAAGAAAAAGAAACAAACAAACAAACAAAAACAAAAACAAAAACAAACAAACAAACAAACATACACACACGCAAACAACATAGCGTACACATTCGCCCAAACACACCCACTCACAGACGGCACACACGCACAAGTCCGACCTCCCTTGTATCCTCTTTGGCCTCCTGACCTTATGGGTAATCACCTGTTTTCCTTCCCCCCTTGCCTTAGCAACATTACTCACATTTTCCGAGACAAGGGCACCGCACCACAGGTCTGCTCGAGTCCGACTTTCCATATGAAATCCGCGTGCATTGACGTTTATTTTGAGGCGCCTCAAAAATCCGCGTGCATTGACGTTTATTTTGAGGCGCCTAAAAAATCCGCGTGCATTGACGTTTATTTTGAGGCGCCTCAAAAATCCGCGTGCATTGACGTTTATTTTGAGGCGCCTAAAAAATCCGCGTGCATTGACGTTTATTTTGAGGCGCCTCAAAAATCCGCGTGCATTGACGTTTATTTTGGGGCGCCTCAAAAATCCGCGTGCATTGAGGTGTATTTTGAGGCGCCTCAATGCACGCGGATTTCATACCGCAGGTCTGCTCGAATCCGACTTTCCTCTCATCCTCTTTAGCCTCCTGGGCGCTGGTGTGGGCACCAATTGTTACTGTGATTGCTGCCTTCCTTTCCCTCCTCTTTCCTCGCCCCTCTGCCTCTCAGCTTCCAAGACAAGGGCACAGGCGCAGGTCTGCTCGAATCTGATCTGCCTCTTATCCTCTTTGGCCTCCTGGGCGCCGGTGTGGGGACCACATCGTCCACACTGGCGTTTGCCGTCCACATGCTGACTCAGCACCCGGAAGTTGCCCAGAAACTTCAGGCTGAAATTGACAGGTGTTTTGAAGAGAGGGAGAGGGAGGGAGAGGGAAGAGGGGAAGGAACAGAAAAGGCAGATGGAGAGGGGGTGGGGGAGAGGGGGGCAGGTGAGATGGGGAGAAGCAGGTCCGAAGACACGCCTTCATTTACCAATAAAAAACGTTTGTTTGAAGACCTAGAAGAGCTTAAGTATCTTGATATGGTTGTGAAAGAAACACTTAGGCTGTACCCTGCTGCCCCTATAGCTGCCCGCCTGCCCGTCCATGCAACGACTCTGGCTGGTTACCACATCCCTGCGAATACGCCGGTCGTGGTCCCGATTTTCGCTGCCCACCGCTGCCCGGATTTCTTCCCCCGGCCGCTTTCTTTTCTGCCCGAACGTTTCGGTCAGCGGGCAGCGGGTGAGAAGGGAGTTGGGTGGAAGGAGGGAGGGAGGAAAGAGGAGGCAGAAGGGCAAGATGGGGAAGGAAGGGGCGAGAAGGGTGGAGAATTGATCAAGGGTGAAGAGAGAGGAGGAGGGAAGCAGCGAGAGGAGGTGCTGTGGACGGCCGAGTCAGAGGCTATGTATTTGCCTTTTGGTGCCGGTCCGCGCATGTGCATCGGTGCTCGATTCGCCTTGATGGAAATCAAGCTCTGCCTCGTGCTGCTGCTGCGGGCCTTTGAAATTTCATCAGCATGTGACATAGCAGTAGCATCTGCGACTGATGTCGATGCGTCGAGGCGTTTCACAACTTGCAAGGCTGACGTTGAAGAAAGGGAGAGAGGGAAGCGGGGAGAGACCGAGGAGGCAGGGGAGGGCGTGTGGGGGAGTGCGAGCAGCAAGGCAGGGGTGGATAGCAGCAAGCTGCCATTGGAATCTGGGTTGAACCTTCGACCGAAAGACGGCAGAGGAGAGGAGGGCATCAGACGGGGTGCAAGCAGCAAGGCAGGGGTGGATAGCAGCAAGCTGCCATTGGAATCTGGGTTGAACCTTCGACCAAAGAATGGGGTGTGGGTAAGGATACGGAGGAGGGGCAATGGTATTTCGTTGTGAGGGGGGGGGAGGGGGGGATAGATAGCAGCAAGGCAGGGGTGGATAGCAGCAAGCTGTCATTGGAATCTGGGTTGAACCTTCGACCAAAGAATGGGGTGCGGGTAAGGATTCGGCGAAGGGACAATGGCATTCCTTCTATGCTGATGTGAAGTATACTCTGGTATTTGGTTGGTGGTGATGTACGGGTGAAGCTACTTTGGCAAGCCTTGAATGTCTAGTTTTGAGGCGCCTCAAAACTACAATGGCATTCCTTCTATGCTGATGTGAAGTATACTCAGGTGGTTACCGTACTTTGGCAAGTCTTGAATATGGGTGACTTCAACAGCTTCTTTCCCTTGGCCATGTGGTGTACATCTTTCAGGCCAGTATCAGCACACTGTCAGATGATTTGCATTGCATCTCTTTATGAGGTATTCAAAACGGGAGGCGAGGCTACACTCGCTAAAGAACTTCTCTACAGAGCAGACACTGTATGTACGCATAAGCTAGTAGCTACCCAGCACCGGTATATGTACGCTGGCCACCCCTTAGAGCGTGTTCCTACGGCCTCATATCAGGCCACCTCGTATCAAGACTGTACTTTTTGCCTGGTAAAACTAGCGAGAGGTTTTGGGTTTAGGGAATTTTCAGTGTGAGCCTGATACGAGGTTTGCTTGATACGAGGTGTAGGAACACGCTCTTATTCTATCCCCTAACCTCCTCCATCCATGCTGCATCAAAAAGAGCCTGTTCTTCTAAGAGCCTGTTCTTCTAAGAGCCTGTTCTTCTAAGAGCCTGTTCTTCTAAGAGTCTGTTCAGAGACCTCAAGGCATGCACCTTGCCTGTTGCGCTCTTGCTTCCGCCGCTGCAGCCACTGGCACTTGTGCCTGTGCTGTATTGGCGAGTTTCATGCTAGTGGTTTGTCACCTAACCTCCTCCATGCTGCTTCAAAAAGAGCCTGTTCTTCTAAGAGTCTGTTCTTCTAAGAGCCTGTTCTTCTAAGAGCCTGTTCTTCTAAGAGTCTGTTCAGAGACCTCAAGGCATGCACCTTGCCTGTTGCGCTCTTGCTTCCGCCGCTGCAGCCACTGGCACTTGTGCCTGTGCTGTATTGGCGAGTTTCATGCTAGTGGTTTGTCACCTAACCTCCTCCATGCTGCTTCAAAAAGAGTCGGTTCTTCTAAGAGTCTGTTCAGAGACCTCAAGGCATGCATGCACCTTGCCTGTTGCGCTCTTGCTTCCGCCGCTGCTGCCACCGGCACTTGTGCCTGTGCTGTACTGGCGAGTTTCATGCTAGTGGTTTATCACCTAACCTCCTCCATGCTGCTTAAAAAAGAGCCTGTTCTGCTAAGAGCCTGTTCTGCTAAGAGCCTGTTCTGCTAAGAGCCTGTTCTGCTAAGAGTCTGTTCAGACCTCAAGGCATGCAGGCACCTTACTGGTGGCACTTACCAGCACTTGTGCCGGAACGCGGTGAGGGGGAAAGGGGGGGGGGGGGGAACAGGCGATGAGCAAAGTAAGAACGAGGAGCTAGCAAAACGGAGTGACTTTTGAGTCGACTCAAAAGTCACCAAGTAAGAACGAGGAGCTAGCAAAACGGAGTGACTTTTGAGTCGACTCAAAAGTCACCAAGTAAGAACGAGGAGCTAGCAAAACGGAGTGACTTTTGAGTCGACTCAAAAGTCACCAAGTAAGAACGAGGAGCTAGCAAAACGGAGTGACTTTTGAGTCGACTCAAAAGTCACAAAGTAAGAACGAGGGGCTAGCAAAACGGAGAAAGCGGAATGTGAGGTGGGAGGAACCGGGGGAAGGAGCGGCAGGGGGATTAAGAGAGGCTAGAATGAGGAAAAAGTGGGGGGAGAGGGGAGAGGGGGGGAGGCTGGCGGAGGGGAATGGAGGGAGAGGGGAAATGGACGGAAAATGCAGATACTATCACCAGCGTTTTCGAAAATGCTGTACATAGATCCCTGCAATCGTGTAAGGGGACTGTATAGGCGTAGGAGGGAGGTAGGAGGAAGGGGGGGGAATACAGAAAGATGCTGCTGAAAGCTCTCCCTCTGAAACCTATCATATGCGTATCGAGAGAGTGTGGGAGCAGGGGGGGAGAGGGGGGAAGGGGGTGGGCAGGGAGAAACGGAGCCTGACAAATTCGTCTCTGCCACTCTATTTCACAATACACTTTGCACGCGACCAGCGCGAATTATCAGCGCTAGTTACCAGCGCGACTTACCTTCGCCCTTAGCCACTCTGATTCACACGACACATCGCACGCCGCCAGCCCGAACCACCCGCGCGAGTCACCAGCGCGAGTCAACTTCGCGTTCAGCCACTCTATTTCAGCGCGCGTTACCAGCATGAATCGCCAGGCGCGAGTACAGCAGCGCGAGTACAAGAGAAAGCGCGCGTTACCAGCACGAGTCGCCAGGAGCAAGTTAGCAGCGCGAGTACCAGAGAAAGCGCGCCTAAAACAAAACGTCTGGTGTTTGCTGGGAAACTGGAGGGGACGGTAATGAATCGTATTTTCGTACAACGCGATGATTATGTTAGCGCGAAAACACTCACAGCGATTGGAGGGTGATGTGTCGCTCATCGCAAAGGAATTCGTACGAAACTACCACAAACTAAATGCATTGACGACCGTACTAGGACTGCTCGCCATGGTTCTCCGATCAAAGCGGACGAAACGCGCGCCATGAACTACGTCAACAGCATCGACCGTACTACTACTGTGAGTCATGCTGCTCCAATCTGAACATCAGCAGGTGATATTCCTAGAATCAGACATTCCGCGATGAGGTACTAATTAAAAGCGAGACGCTACGAAAGTACGAGGCGTGATAAAAGTAGCTACGTTTCTAAGGTACGGTATGAGACCTATTCTGAGGTAGCCAATTCCTAGACCTAACACGAAGTTGAGATCTGAAGCGGGAATACAAGGGGGAAAGTTAGAATTGCGTAAATCAACGTGCCATTTCTTCATCGTCGCCATTTCTTCGCCACTTCCTTCGCATCTCTTATCCATTACGACATTTGGCGACATTTGACGACAACTTTCGATTTGTTTCGTTTCCAGTTCCCTCCAACAAATCATTTCGATTGGCTCAAACATTTTCCTCTCAGCTGCCCACGAACTTCGCGAAGGGGCAAACTTCGCTGCGACAACAAGGCTTTGGCCTTGTTCGGGAGAACCAGAGGAAGAGGAGTACCAGATCCAGAGGAGGAACAGTACTAGGCTCGGAAGCCCAAAAATCGCGTGCGACCCCCATGCGACCACTTTCGTGACCAAACCTCGAGGTTTGGAAACATCAACCTCTTCTTCTCCTCTGCAGCGGCTCGAGATTCCGAGTCGCTACCCCTACAGTCCATTGACTGCACAGTAATCACAGGCAAAAGTGTCCTCACTTTCTCCTCTCCATTCTCTAGCGAGGAGAAGGTGAGGATCAGAGGTCAAAAACTTTTGGCGGGCATCTAGGTTTCTACATCTTGATTACCCAGGGCGGACACAAACGAACGAAAAAGTTGAGGAAGCCCTAATGCCTTCACTTTCACCTTGTTTAGTGGTTCTTTCTGGTGTTTGTAGGGTTGTTTCGTCTTGGAAAATATGGGAAGTGGGATGGAGAGGAAATGGGAAATGGGAAGTTGAGAGAGCATCAGAGATGGTAGGTGCGATTTGGCATCTTGACCCCCGGCGTGCCAAGGTTGTCGTTTTTGCTCAAATTGGGGCGTTGACTATGCAAACCCCTGTCATTTTGTCCAGCTGGCAATTCTGATTGTAGTTGTTCATATTGTACAATTGACCAGGCGGTGTGTTGTCGTTTTTCTCTTTGAGGCTCGGTACAGAGCAGCATGCTCTTCCTCTGGTTGAGGGGCTCCCGAACAGGGCCTTTGCCCACCTACGAACGCCGTCCCGCGCATCACGCAAAATGTTGAGTTCCTACTAAACATAGTGCCACGTCATGGATCACCTAGAAACGATCTACACCTGCCAGTGTTTGGACTTTTCCGAACCACAGCATTGTTCCTGTGCGTCACCACTACACCAAAACAGCAAATCATCAGAAACAATATAACATCGTTACAAATGATTTTGAACTGTGCACTTTGAAACTAAAGCAGCTACAATGGGGGACGTCAGCCTGCCAAATTCCCCGCGTTGAACCAACACTTCTGACTCAGTCAACTCAATGTTTCGTCTGACCACCTGACGTCACACTGGGCGCGGACTTTGACAAATCTGGCCGCCACGCCTCGGCTCGCAACATCCCAACCATCCATTCGCGCACGGCGCTATCGACACCCTCCAAGCCTCATCCATCCCAGAATCTGGCATTCAGATTCCAACCAACCAAGTCGTTCTCAAAAAGATGGCCTTGTGGTCCCCACAGCACCATCGGTTTCACCACCGCCAAACCGAACTCACCATTGCGACTTCCTCCCCTCCCATCGCTGTGTTCCGTCTGACTACCTGCCGTCACACTTCGCACAAAAAAAAAAATCCAATTCTGGCCGCCACACATCGGCTGGCGAAATCTGAACCATCCACTGCTTACGGCGCTACCTACACCCTTGATTTTCAATCCCCACCACTTCCAAATTCTAACCAAGGGATTCCTGAAGGCGGCACCCCGGCTTCCGGTCCCTCCGCTCAGCACCACATTCACGACCTACTCCCATCCCATCGGTTCATTCAGCAGCTTCTGAACGGTAAGTTCCTTCACACCCACTTCGACAATGCGCAGAAGGTAAGCATTTGCTTCAACTAACTTCACGAGGTAAGCACTGGAGGGGATGCTTCTTTCTGCTTCCATCAAGACAACCCGGAGTCAGCCAACGGCATCCAGCTTGGCATCGTCGTAAGTGTCGCCGAGTCGCAGCGTCGCAAGCGTCGCAGCGTCGCAGAGTCGCGTTGTGGGTGGGGTGGTTGGGTAACGGTGATTTTTTACAACCTTCGACGACGACCTTCTACGACCTTCGACGACCAGAGAAGCTGCACAATATGACGGTAACCTTGCAATGTAAGTATCCTTCGTGCATTCAGTTCTTTTTTTGTGCATTCTTCTTGTTCTTTTTTGTTCCGTGCTTATCCCTGCTGGATTTTGCAGGTCCGCGACTGGAATACTCGTTAGTGCAGCAAACCGCGACGGCTCGTTAGAACAGTCGACCGCGACGCGACGGATCGTTAGAACAGTCGACCGCGACGGCACGGTAGACTCGAAACAGTGCGCGACGGTGGCTCGACAGACTCGTTAGTAAACGGTGCGCGACGGTAGGCTCGATACAGTGGTCGACATGGACACTTCGGATCGGAAAGTGGTAAGGACGAGGGTAAGGCTCTCTTGTTTCCGCTTATTTTTTTTTTTATAATTCTTCTATACTAACTACCGCCGCTTCCTCCAAGTTGCAGGTTCGGCAGGAACGCGGACGCCATCACCTTTCCCCTCCTTTCTCCACTCTTCTTCCTCTGTCCCTTTCAGACTTGGATCTTGGAGCTTGGAGCTTGTAAGTTTATCTCTCCTTCTACGCTTTTATTGTATTTTCGCTTGTTTTTCGTTGTTGTTTTTGTTTTATAGTTTTTTTTTTCTATACTAACTATCGCCGCTTCCTCCAAGTTGCAGGCTCGGCAGGAACGCGGACGCCATAACCTTTCCCCTCCTTTCTCCTCTCTTCTTCCTCTGTCCCTTTCAGACTTGGATCTTGGAGCTTGGAGCTTGTAAGTTTATATTTCCTGCTACGCTTTTACTGGTTTTTCGCTTGTTTTTCGTTTTTTGCTTTTGTTTTATATTTTTTTATTCTATGCTAACTATCGCCGCTTCCTCCAAGTTGCAGGTTCGGCAGGAACGCGGACGCCATCACCTTTCCCCTCCTTTCTCCTCTCTTCTTCCTCTGTCCCTTTCAGACATGGATCTTGGAGCTTGGAGCTTGTAAGATTATCTTTCCTGCTACGCTTTTACTGGTTTTTCGCTTGTTTTTCGTTTTTGCTTTTGTTTTATATTTTTTTATTCTATACTAACTATCGCCGCTTCCTCCAAGTTGCAGGTTCGGCAGGAACGCGGATGCCATCACCTTTCCCCTACTTTCTCCTCTCTTCTTCCTCTGTCCCTTTCAGACTTGGATCTTGGAGCTTGGAGCTTGTAAGTTAATATTTCCTGCTACGCTTTTACAGGTTTTTCGCTTGTTTTTCGTTTTTGTTTTTGTTTTGTGTTTTGTGTTTTTTTTATTCTCTACTAACTGTCGCCGCTTTCTCCAAGTTGCAGGTTCGGCAGGAACGCGGACGCTATCACCTTTCCCCTCCTTTCTCCTCTCTTCTTCCTCTGCCCATTTCAGACTTGGATCTTGGAGCTTAGAGCTTGTAAGTTAGTATTTCCTGCTACGCTTTTACAGGTTTTTCGCTTGTTTTTCGTTTTTGTTTTTGTTTTGTGTTTTTTTTATTCTCTACTAACTATCGCCGCTTCCTCCAAGTTACAGGTTCGGCAGGAACGCGGACGCCATCATCTTTCCCCTCCTTTCTCCTATCTTATTCCTCTGCCCATTTCAGACTTGGATCTTGGAGCTTTGGAGCTTGTAAGTTTATCTTTCCTGCTACGCTTGTACTTCTTTTTTCGCTTGTTTTTCGTTTTTGTTGTTGTTGTTGTTGTTTTTTTTTTTTTTTCTATACTAACTAGCTCCAATTCCTTCAAGTTCCAGGTTTGGCAGGAACGAGGAGCGGACGCGGGTGTCGCGGAGGAGCGGAGGCCATCACTTTCACGTTTTTGTTCTCTTATCTTCCTCCAGTGTCGAGTGTCAGGTTGAGTTGAGAGACAACGAGCACACGGGGCTCGGCACCAACTCTAGAGTAGAACAGACGCGTTACAGACAGACTCGTGTAGAACGGACGGACGACACGGAACAGACTCGATAGGAGCGAAAAGCCAGGCACGGTATGCCGCGGTTGGGTTGGTTACGATGGGATGGGTGGGTGGTTCCGATAGGGTGGGGGGAGGTTTCGATGGGTTGGGTGGGTGGTCTTATAAGGTGTGTCAGATGAGCTGCAGGTCATCTGACATCTGACAACCATCGAGCTGAGGTGGTTTTCTGCCCGCGGAAGTAGATTTCATAAATCCCCCCCCAAATTATTTTCATTCTTTCCTTCCCTCTCCTCTTTCCCCACCCTCTCCCCTCCCAAACAGGTGTCCTGAGCGAAAAACCCCCACCTCAACGCGGTGCTCAGGTGTAACGCTAGGGACTTTGCCTCTAGCGGCCAAGAGGGGCGAAGACTCGAAGTGAAGACTCAAGACAAGCGGAGCAGCAGCAGAAGATCGGCCTTCGTACCAGAAGTTGGAGCTGGTTGCAGTTTCTAGTTGAGATTCGCTTTCCTGTTCATGTACGGTTTATATACGCAAGTTTTACATTGTGCAAGGCAAACTGTCCTGATCCAATTTCAGAATCAAACTTCCGTCAGCGCACTAGTACGACTCTGAAATCCCTTCATGAGCAATGTCTTTCTAAAGCTACGATCTGTGAAGATAACTCTGAAATCCTTCGCGAGCAAGAGCTCTTCAACCCCCGACTAGCGGAAGTATCTCCCGTGGGCGTTACGATCCATGCGACAAAGGTTTCTGTCGAAGCACAAATCATAGGAGCATGAGGCTGACGAGATAGGTTCTTAGCGCTTTCTGCGGCACGTTTCAGCGAAAGCAACGGCTGGGATCGCGTGTTGAGTCGTTTACTTTTCTCACCTTTTGGTATCCTGTTTTCCCGAATCGAAGCTGTGTATTGTCTTATGAATCTAACGTTCGTTCGGCATAGTTCATGGTCAATGTCTCTTTTAAATTGCTTCCAGAGGATAGGAGTCGACACGCTGACACGCCCTCGCGTATGGACGCGTGGTGCGTCGTTTCCTCTCTTATACGACGTCAGGGCTAAGCTGAAAGCTTTCTGAAACTTGTTATTCCGAATTGAATCTGTAATTTCTTTCAAGATCTAGTGCGCGTTCAGCATGGCTCATGGTGAAGGTCTTTTTTAACGGTTCGCCATGTCAGGAGGAGAAGAATCAACGCGCGAATGGATCACGCGATGGTCAGGCAACAATACTGCATCTGTGACATGCGCATCTGTGACATGCGCATCTGTGACATGCGCATCTGTCACCGCACCTCCCATCTCACCCCACCCACCCTCTTCTCCCCACCTACCAGCACCCCGAGGTACTACAGGAGGCAGCGCAGGTCTACCACCTGCCTTTGCGAGTCAAGAGGTCCTGGTGGGTGGTAAAACCGCCCACCTGATGGTGGTGTGGCTGGTGCGCTCTGTGGGGGGCTTTCACCTGCCGCTGCCCGCGCCTGCGCCCAAGGACTGGGCTGATGGAAGTGCTGTATGATAGGAGACTGCATGGAATTGTTAAAACCTTTGGCTGGTGCGGATTCAGAAAGAGGCAGTTGCATCCTTTTGTATGTATATATGGTTTAATGGTTGTATGGTGGATGCTTCCTAGTGAGGTAAAGTGGTGCAATGATAGGTAAAATGTGAGCCCGTAAGCTGTCCATGCACCAGGATATCCACACTGGCTCGTGAGGAACTAAACATCAAGTTAAAATGCGCATAATCATAACATGTGTAAGGCTGTGCAAGGCACACAGCTTGGCTACGATGTATATATATACCAACTTCCTACCACACATGAGCCTTAGTGTACCTACAGCATACATGGACACTACATGGATGGAGAGTGTACAGGCCATCATTATTTTATGTGTTGTTAGCAGCCCGTGAATGGGCTGTCGTTGTGTTACGGTAGATTGCCAAGCTGCCTCCATGCTGAGGATTGCCAAGCTGCCTCCAAGCTGCGTCGACCATGCTGCATCGACCAGCCAAGCGACCTTGCTGGTTGCACAGTCTTGCTTCCGGCAAGGTGCCACTGCTGCTACCAGCACTTGTGTCTGCGCAACAAGGAGGCAGTTAGCGATATCTTACAGCGCAGTCCAAATGTGTCATGCTAGACGTATATAGCCTATCTTCCTCCATGCTGCTTCAAAAAGAGCCTGTTCAGTGACGTCCTGACTTTGCTGCTTGCACCCTTGCTTCCACTGCTGCTACTACCAGCACTGGCGCCTGTGCTGCCGTTGCCGCCGCCGCTGCCGCTGCTGCTGCTGCTGCTGCCAGCTACGTTGCTGGTGCTCCCACTCCTGCTCCCGCTCACCAACCCTGTCCCATTCCTGCTCCCAAATGCCTTTCCTGGCCGTCCCTTTTTCGGCCAAGGCAGCTTCTTACCCAGCTTCTTCCAAATACTATTTGAAAGCAGCGGGTCGGGGCCATATCCCCCAAACGGGTGAACAATCTTGTGGAAAAACACGTCGACCCACGCGTCTGGAACCCCAGGAAGGCACCATTTCACGCAGTCCATCTCGCTCGCATCCGGAGGTGGCCCGTACGCTGCCATATGCCCGTCCGCGCGATACATTGACATTTGTAACACATCCAAAAGTTTGATCTTCGATTTGGATAACGCTTGCCGTTGCACTGCTGTCCAGCCGGTGGCGTCGCTCCGAGCCTCTGCATAGCGCATCGCGTCAGCTTGTAAAGGGGATGCAAACAGCCCGCATGTGGTAGCCGCATATCGGAACATGTTTGGATTATGCGATGGTGGCATGGTGAGAAAAACCGGCCGAACCAGCTGGAAATTCTTATCAAAATAACCCGATACTGTTTTAAGCGCAGTAGATAACGCGTCTTGTGGTGTAGGCTGAGGCGAAAGCGGTTTCCCCTGGGAGTAATAAATCCTCTGGTTGCTGATATAACTGCTGTACGCGCTGTTGTTGACGCTGCTGCTCGTGGTGGCTGGCTGGGGTAAAAAGTAATTGCTGGCGACGAGAATCAGGGCTTTAAGCTGGGGGATATTTGGGAGCATCTCGAGAATCTTGTGGTTGATTGTGCCCAGCTGCACGTGCCAGAGGTGAGAGGCCTTGGACTCGCCCTGGGGGTGAGGGTTGGCAAGAGGGAGAGGGGGGAAATATCAGGGTCAAGCTAAAGGTGAGAGGCCTTGGACTCACCCTTGGGGAGCAGAGAGGAGAGGCATGAGAGCAGCCATGGCAGAATGACACATGCCCCTTCTACTCACCTCCACATCCGGCCAGGCCTCCATGAGGAAGGGAGCATCCACCAGAATGACTTGGACTTCGGAATGGCAGCAGGCATAACTGGTGCAAAGCACACCAATGGCACATTCTTACTACTCACCTCCACATCCGGCCAGGCCCCCATGAGGAAGGGAGCATCCACCAGAATGACCCACACACCATGTGTCATGCTGCTTCATGCGCCATACCATGCACCATTCACCATTCACCATTCACCATGAACCATGCACCATGCACCATTCACCATTCACCATGCACCACGCACCATGCACCATGCACCATGCACCATACCATTCACCATGCACCATACCATTCACCATATACCATGCACCATGCACCATAGCAGAAGATCTCACCTCCACATCCGGCCATGACTCCATGAGGAAGGGCGTATCCACCAGAATGACTCGCGTGCCCAGCAGCTTCACCTTAAAGCCCTGGCCCGTCCACCCAGCGAGTTTCGGATCCCAGTCCTGCAAGACGACATATCAGATGGTGAATAGGGTAAACTTTTGAGGCGCCTCAAAGTCGCCCTCTGTGATGCGCTTTTGGGCGGTAAAAACGACACATCAATAGTTTGCTTTCTATGTGATACGGAATCTGTTTCTTACGCTCCGAAGTGTACCTCTGTAGTGTAGTGTTGGCTGATCCGGCACCTCAGGGATTGGTAGAGGTACTGTCCGGTGCTGTCACCCGCTATAGCAACCGCTTGGCCCACGAACCGAGCCGCAAATGACTTGGGATCGAATCTGCACAGGTAAGCGCGAGAAAGGTAGGAGAGAAAGAGGTGTCAGAAAGCAAGAGGAACAACATACGAACGAGAGAGGCGAGAGAGGTAGAACGAGGGAAGGGGAATGAAAGGGAGAGGTATGATGGAGAGGAGAGAGGGAGAGGTGGGAATGAGAGATGTGAGAGAGGTGTGAGAGAGGTGTGAGAGAGGAAGAGGTGTGGGTTGAGGGAGAAAGAGGATTTATGAAGCAGCATTGGGAGAAGACTAATGAAGTAAAGGACGGGGTTTCAAGCAGTCTTGGGTTGAGACTTACAAGGTCATATCACAGCCGTTGGGTTTCCAGACGAGGTGCTGGAAGTCGCCATCCGGCCGTCCGTTCTTAACGCAGTTGAAGTTATCCGTGATGTACGGACAGTCGTTCTGATACTGCGGATACTTCGACGAAGGAACCCATCTGATAAGGGGAAGAAGGGGATAGAAGCATCATTAGCGAGGATAAACATGCAATATTATAGGCTCTAAATTATGGAGGTATGCGCTTCGTGCAGGAGGTATGCGCTTCGTGCAGGAGGTATGCGCTTCGTGCAGGAGAGACCACGGTGACGACCAAAAGGCTGTTACAGCAATAATGAAATAAGAGGCCACTAGAAGGAAATCCATAGAGGGGATGACTTTGGGGTGAAAGGTTACGGTAACGCACGATCCGACAGTGATGTCGCATTTCTTCTCGGACGACGCAGCCATCGCATGCGACACGAGCGATAGGCTAGCGAAAAGAGCTGCGATGGCTGCCAATGATCGCACGAAGAGCTGCCTCGAGGCGCGGGGCTGCACAGGAACTCTCATGACTGATTTCTTCAAATCTCCGAAGTTACTTGTGAGTGGCTGGATGCTTTCTCGATGTCTGGTCTGGTAGCCTGAAGCGGATGTGATTAGAGAAGGTTGAGTTACGATAGTATTGCTGTGGTTCCGCAATCGCGTTATGCTCGAGAGAGATTTGAGTCGACTCAAGCAAGCGAAGAAGCTTCTTTGGCTTGGCTGTCGGCCTAGTGACGCGAGGGTTAAGGATACATTAAATATGCACCACGGTATTTTGCATGAGAAGCTGAACTATTGAAATCTCAGGGAATTACGTCGCTAATACGAGCTAGCTCTCTATACCGAAGGGATTCATGAATAGTAACGATGATACTAATGTGAAAGTCGCTGATGTTCAATGCTCGCCTTTTATCGATTGAGGTGGCAACAGGCAGGGAGCAAATCCTGGACAACGGTAGACTCGTGTGGATTGTGGGATAGGGGAAACTAGAGCAGATTCCGGAATGGCAAAGGTGAGGTCGCCGACAAATAAGCGCATGGCGTGGCTTGAGATGCTTATCGCGGATATAGTAGCATTTCACGGCGGGATGATTATTTCACGGCGGGAGGATTCTCTCCGTGGTACAGAACCTCTAAGACGTTCAAGGCGGCCATCATCGTCCCAGTGAAAACCGCCCGTCGGCGTGACGGCGCGCATTTCATGACGCAGCCTGCGCCCTGCGGATGACCTTAGGCTCTCTCCTTGAAGGGTGGGGGGGAAGGTGAGGAGGAGGGTGGTGGATGGGTCATCATCGTTGTGGTTCCCAGAAGCTGTGCCATCTAACCTGAGATGACGGTGGTGTGGCGTCGCCTGTGTTCTACCATGGTCAGTCGCCGTCGGTTTGTGTGGTGTACCGACGGTTGGAGCCGCGGCTAACGCACATCAACATCAAGAGTGGGAGGGAACAGAAAGTCGAGAAAAATCGTCAAATGGATCTGAGGACGTCGATTCGAGTGAAGATGAGCGGAAGGAGGTGAGGTGAAGTGTTCGAATAGGCGCACGGATGACACGTCACGTGGAACATAATGAACGGCTGAGCGGGCTGTATGCCGCATCCTAACGTAACAAACCATGATGATGTGCGTGTGTTCTGTGCGCTATGGTCGGTGAGATGAGGGACGAGACGAGACGACTGCGAGAAAACGGGCGTCGGAAGGAACTCGGAAGATGTACAGACGATGGAGGGAGAAACCAGAAAGCATGAGAAAATCGCTGCACAAGTGTGTTTGTGAGTATACTATGGTCTGGATGGGCCAACTGGGACGAAAATTAGAGGGGAGGGGAGTCAGGGACACGGCCCTGCACGATTTTTTTGTGAAATGCGCGTGCCATTCGAAGTACATTCAGCAGGCGCCTACTTGAGCCCGCATTTTCGTCCCACGAAATGTAGAGATGTCGGCGCACGGATTGACATTTCCGACGAGGCGCGCTTGCAAGGGTCAAAGCGCAAAACTCCTCCGTGAAGTGCGGCGATGCATTCGCTCTCAGCAGCATTGTGATGCCACGTCCTTACATCGTAAGAGATACACTTCGGACTTGTTCACTAGTAAATTGCTTATCCATATTAGTGAGTATTTATGCCAAAGCCTTCTTTACATTAAAAATGACATACCGGTATCATTTTGAGCCGTTCTTGGCATAATTCAGGCATACGGACATGAATCTGTGACAAGCATGGAATTTAGCACATCTGCTGTGGTGCGTCAATGGTTGATACTTCTCAATAGCCTACAACACTTTCCAAGAACATGTCAACCTAATATTCATACCGTACCTATTCGTTCATTACGGCAAGAAACGAAACCACGGTAAAAAACCATATAAAACAAGAAACACCATGCAAAATCTATGGTATCAAATTGAATATCACAATAAGACTGTACTGTGCCTTTCCATCAAAACAATATCAAACAACACACTCAAATCACACATTTATTGCTATAAACTAACCAGCCCAGCCCATTCTTAATAGTATACTATAAAGGGCATCTGCTGTACGTAAGCATTTGCCTGGTAACCATACGTATAACAATTCGTGTATGTGCCTATAGCGAGGCAATGGAGAGCTTTCAATGCAATAAATCCGTAACTGCTATGCTCCTATCGATACCTATTATGGTTTGCCACAGTGTAGCCCGCAGCTGATCCCGCTGCTCCTGCTCCTGCTCCTACTCCTCCTGCTCCTGCACCTGCTTATTCGTCTGCTCGGCCAATCGTCCCACGTCCTTCTGCTCTTGTAGTTCACGTAGCAGGAACTGCTGCTGCTGCTGCTGCTGCTGCGCTGTCATCCCCATTTTATAACCCTGTCACCTCAACGCGCATTGGAGTGTGAGCCGTTTCAACACTCACCTCCCTCTTCTCCTGCCGCTCCTGCAATCGGCACCGCTGCTGCAGCAGAGTCATCCCCATACATGCCCTCACCCATACATGGCCCCGTCTCTGGTAATGGCCAAATATGAAGGGCGTCTCAACACTCGCCTCCCTCTTCTCCTGCCGCTCCTGCACTCGGCACCGCTGCTGCAGCAGAGTAATCCCCATACATGCCCTCACCCATACATGGCCCCGTCTCTGGGAAGGGCCAAATCTGAAGGGCGTCTCAACACTCGTCTCCCTCTTCTCCTGCCGCTCCCGCACTTGGCACTGCTGCGGCAACAGAGTCACCCCCGTACATGGCCCCGTCCCCAGAAATTTTCGAACCGTGCGTTGCATTTGGGGAAGACGAGAGGGAAGAAGCCTCGATGTCCCTCAGCTGCTCCTGCAGGGCCACCATCTCTTTCTGCAGATTATAGGGGAAAGTGAGGAAGCATTGCAGGTGGAGTGTGGAGAGGGGAGCAAGGCGAGGATGAGCGAAGTAAATGGGGAGGGACTCAGAGCAGGGGGGTTTAGGGCAGGGGAATTGGCCAAGGAAACTCAGGGCAAGGGAATTCAGGGCAGGGTGATACAGGGCCGGCCAGTTCAGGGCAGGAAGATTCAGTGCAGGGGCGTACCTGCAGCAGGCAGATGACTCCCACGCAGCCGTACACAGGGTCTCTGAGCCTGGCCTGTGCCTCGTACTCCAAGCTCGCCACTGCGTCCTCCCTCTGGGCAACCGGGATGTCCTGTAATGGGGGACAGAAGCACAGGAGGCAGGAGGAGGAGCAGAAGAAGGATGAGAGGAGGAGAGGCAGGAAAGGTTGTGAGATGGGTGTCCCTGAGCCTGGCCTGTGCCTCGTACTCCAAGCTCGCTACTGCGTCCTCCCTCTGAGCCACTGGGATGTCCTGAAGAGAGGTCACAAGAGCACGGGCGGACAGGAGGAGCGGCAGGAGAGCCAGGGAGGAGAGGGGGAAAAGAGACGTTATGAATGGGACTCTCTGAGTCTCGCCTGCGCCTCGTACTCCAGACTGCTGCATCCTCCCTCTGTCCTGCAGGGAAGGAGGGAGGAGCAAGTAGAGTATATGGAGCAAGTGGAGCAGGACGAGCAGGATGAGAGGAGGAGAGGAGCAAGACGAGCAGGATGAGAGGAGGAGAGGCTGGAGACTGGGAGCCTTTATAAATTAAAGTGAACATCTATCCTGAATTTTTTTCTATATGACTGTATTATCAGAATTCAGCGTTACTTATACAGGCTTGCTCGTCACTTCTTTATAAGGCTCGAGTGCTATTTTATACTCACCTGTAACCTTGGAAAACAAGGTAAAGCAGCAACGATTGCCAATAACACCTCGGTATCAGAAGACCTTAATGTGACTTACTTGTAACATTGTGGTAAGGGTGCCCTCACGCGAGTAAGGTAACACTGCGAGGAACACCGCGAGGAGCATCTCCTGCTGCTTGCCTTTCCACTCTCCCCGTTGACACTGAGGCTCTCCCAGATAGGGAAAGAGCCTCACGTATCATTGTTGTAAGGCTCATCACCTGCAGCATCTTCGAGACATTGCTGGCGCCGAACACTTTGAGCACCACGCGAAACTTCCCTTTCAGCAGCAGGCACTCGATTCCCTTCACTTTCCCTACTCGATTCCCCCCCTGACCAGAAAGCAACAGTAAGGCTCACCTGCAGCATCTTTGACACATAGCTGGCGCCGAATACTTTGTGCACCACGTGGAACTTCTCCGGCTGGTTGCGCGGGAAGTACGGCAGCAGCAGGCCCTCAACCCCCATCACCCCTTCCCCCCCGTTTCCCTACATTCCCCCGTTTTCCTAAATTCTCTTTGCCGGGAGGGACCAGCGAGTTGACTTTTGACTCAAAAGTCAATTCCCCCGTTTTCCTAATTTCTCTCTGCCCGGGCCGGGAGGGACCAGCGATCCGGCTCTCACCTGTAACATCTTCGATACGTTGCTGGCGCCGAATACTTTATGCACGACGTGAAACTTCTCCGGCTGATTGCGCGGGAAGTACGGCAGCAGCAGGCACTCGCGCGTGCACTTGCGCCGCAGCGACTTGCACGCCGCGCACGGCGGATCCTTCGCCGCCGCCGCCGCCGCCGCCGCCGCAGCCGCCGCAGCCGCTTCTGGCGCCGTTGGCGCTTCCGGTGTGGTCGTTCCTTCTTCTGCTGCTGCTGCTGGCGCTGCTTCTGCCGTCGCTGCTGGTGATGATGCTGACGCGGGGAAGGACCAAGCCGATAAAGCAGCAGCACCACCACTAACACCACCACCAGCACCACCGCCACCGCTAAAAGCAGGAGCAGCAGCAGGTGGAGGAGGAGGAAGGGGAGGAGGGGCAGGTGAGCTGCTAGCAGCGCCAAATGACACGGTAGCGGAGGCAACAGTTGGCGTAACAGCGGGCGCAGAAGTTGGCGCAGCAGCCGGCGCGAAAGTTGGCGCAAACGGGGGAATAGGCGAACCCACGGGGGTGGTCGTTCTTTGCGCCCCACATTCACTCGTGGTCGGCGGAAAACTCATACCGTTCCAGGTGGAATGGCGGCCCGCGCTGGCGGGCGCGGGGGAAAGGTCTCCGCCAGCCGGGGGCGATCCGCTGCCGCTAGGCGCGGGGGAAACGCCTCCGCTGTATCCGGCGCTGTTGAATGGCGGGGCAACGGCGCTACTATTCATTTGCGCCGGAGGCGGCGTCCCCGCGGGCGGCGCTCCCGCCGAGGCGTGCCACGTGTTGTTGTTGCTGGATGCGACCTGCCACGAGGTGCTGCTGGGGGACGGCGTATTCGGCCAGGTGCTATTCATTTGAGGCAGTGACAGAAGTTGCTGCTGCCGCTGCGGCTGCTGCGGCTGCTGCTGCTGATGTTGCTGTTGCGGCGGTGGTGGCGGTGGCTGAGCGTAATTATGCTGCTCCCATACCTGCGACTGCTGCGGCGGTTGTTGCGGCGCGTATTGTGGCGGCTGTTGCGACGCGTATTGCGACGACTGTTGCGGCGGCTGTTGCGGCTGGAAAGACGGTGTAGCTGTAGTGGCAGCCGTTGCACCGCTGCTATAATGCGCAGCGGCAGACGACGAGGGGAACGTCGACGTGGAATGAGGGAACGGTGACGTGGAATGAGGGAACGGTGACGTGGACTGCGGGGAAATTGGTCCCGACGTTGCACACGCGTTGTAAGTCGGATAAGCAGTGTTTGCGCTTGTACCAAAGGATCCATATTCGGTGTTTGTATCGCTGGGTACGGTACTCGATATAGGCTGGGGAGACAATGATACCGGAGCAGAACCGGACGAGTAACCAGTCGAGTAACCAGCGGACGAGTTACCACCCATCGAGTAACCAGACGAGAAACCTGTTGAGTAACCATTCGAATACGTGACGATTGAAGAGGAAGACCCCATTGACTGCTGTTGACCAGGAAACTGCGGCGAGTACTCCGGATGCTGCTGTTGCTGCTGCTGCTGCTGCTGCTGCTGCTGCTGCTGCTGCTGCGAGTACTCCTGCTGCTGTTGCTGCTGCTGGTGCTGCTGCAGAGGCTGCAGCGGCTGGGATAGCAGCTGTTGCTGCTGGGGTTGCAGTTGTGGCTGTGGTTGTTGTTGCTCCCAATACCCCTGGTTTCCGCTGGCCGAACTTTGCAACCCGTATCCGCCTCCACTGCCGCTAGTCACGCCGGTATGGCCGCCAATCCCGCTACAGGAGCGCACGCGTCTGGAAGGTTCTTCATACGGTGCGGCGTGCTCGTGAGTTTGCTGCATTTGAGTCGGAACTGGTTGACCTGGTTGACCTGGCTGACTTGGTTGAATCTGCTGAATCGGTTGCATCTCCATGTGCTGTGGACTGTAATTCTGCTGACTGATAGTCGACGTCGCTGCGGCGGACAGCTGTTGACTCGATTGGATTTGTTGACTTGGTTGAATCCGTTGCGTCTGAGGCGATTCAAGAGCCGAGTACAGTGAAGACTCGTTATTGGTCGTGTTGGGCGATGGCAAAGCGTCGAAGCCCCAGGATGGCGAAAGAGGGTAATCGACGGCGGGCTTTTCGAAGATGTTCGCCAACGGATCGTTCGCCAATTGAGCCCCATTGGACGAGCTGTAGTGTCCGCTGGACGCATCTCCGTTGAACGCGCCGTAATCCGCGGATTGAGTGCCGTGTGGAGGGATTTGGAGCGCGGGTTGAAAGAGCTGCTGTTGGTACTGCTGCGGCTGATGCGTTAGCAACGAAATCGTCATTTTCGCCGCTTTATACTCGTCTCAAAGGTGAGACTTCACCGGTTTTAAATTGAGGCAGTTTCAGTGCGTGAAAAGCTGAATTCCCTGAATAAGTCGCCAAGAAGAGAGCTCCTGTGAACACAGGAGCTTTGAGACGTCTCAAAACTCATGCGACCGCAGGAGGAGTCTCCAGCGGCGAACAGCGACGAGTCACGAATTCTCCAGCGACATTCCGTGGCCTCCGAAATTTCTATACCCCGCAGCAAATCTATCGAATGACGAGCTAGATCTCGCGACTCATTGCAGACAATACAACGCCGTAGCTCCAAGCTGTTTCGACAACGAAGGAGATCACAGAAAGTGGAAGGTTGACTTCGGTGGCTGTGGTGGGAAGAAATTCCGACTGAAAAAAGGGGCGAATAAGTGGGGTGAAGTGAAGAAGAGGGTGGGGCAGGACAAGAGGCAACCCGGCAGGCTGCAGCCCAGCACGCCATGCCCCCAAAATGGGATGAGGCTGGTAGAACATGGGTCGTGGGGATGGCATACATGCGCTTCGCGGTGTAGATGGTGGAATCTCGCTAGCACGCACAAGTTTGTGGGGAGAGGGGCGAAGCGAAAGCGTGTGCGAATGAGGACGTGTGGATGTGCGAAAGATGGGGTCATGGAGTGCGGGCGCGGTACGGATGTATGGTGCACCCGCCCTTCCATTTGCGCGACGTGGCGGCGAATTCCAGAATGCTGGATTCGTCAAGCGGTTCGCAGCGGCCTTTTGCGAAGGAAAGCATGCGTGGCAGTGGAGGAATCCCCATGCAAGTAACCAGAGGCGAAGGCTAGCGAGCCTTTTAGGGTTCGTGTTCCGTCGCTTGGTCATTGCCAGATCGGTTGGTCTTGTCAAATGCTGCGAATTCGTCCCTCTGATTGGTTGCGACGAGTCGGCGACAATGATTCGTTCACTCTGCCAGCCCACAAAATTTCACAGGTTTTGGGAGCAGAAAAGTGGCGCACTCAATTCGCCGCCATCACACGAGCACGTTGGCTTGAAGCTGGCGTGTCTCTCTCTCGCATGTCGCATCGCCACCCAACTACCTTGACTTTCCGATAAATATTATGTTTTTATTTGGTAAGTGTAGCTCATGGAAAAAAACTCATAGTTGTATGTCTCCTACATTCTCACCTTCAGTGTACCAATATTCTGCTTCATGAACATTTCCGTTAATAGCATACACACAACGGGGGAAAAGGTCATGGTACGACGTTCCATGCTTTCAAGCACTAGAGTGTCAAGAGCTAGGACTTGGACCCCTGCTTCTGTTTATGTGCTTTGCGCCCAGCTTCAATCGCTTCTCTGCAAAACAAAACAAGTGTAAGAAACTAGGATACAAGCCGAAGGCTGGAGCTGCACGAGTGCTGGCTTGTGTAACTTCAACACTTACTGAAATGCTGCAGTGAGATCCATGTTATTCGGATCGACTTGAACCCCTTCGAAGAACACATTCGCTGCATCCTCGTAACGCTGCAGCACAACGAACCGCAAAAACAAGAGTACAGTAGTCAGTAAAACTAAGAACTCCATACACTGCGAACAAAAAAAATGGGAACCCTTCTGGTTGAAGTTGTACAGTCTCTCCCAAATGCCCCCTGAAAAGCACTCCCGGAAAGCACTCCCTTCTCGGAAGTACGCCTTGGGCCAGTCGGACCGCAGCGATCGATTCATCTGCCCGTCTGCCAGGGCCAGGGGCGCCTGCCTGCCCCACCACACACCCATCCTTGCACCCTCTCCCGTCTCCCTCCCACTACGCACCTCCATGGCTCTGAAAGCACTGCCTTCTCGAAAGTAAGCCTTGGGCCAGTCGGGCCGCAGCGACCGGCTCATCTGCCCGTCTGCCAGGGCGAGAGGCGCCTGTCCCAGGCGCAGCCAGCAGATGCTGCGGTTGGCCAGAAGGGTGCCCTTCATCACCCTGTCGTCCGCTGGGGTTGCTGCCAGCTCTGCTTTAGGGTAGAGATCCAATGCCTGGAGAGGGGGGTTTGGAGTGGTGAAGAGGGGTGGAGGGAGTTACTTGACCATCTGCCCGTCTGCCAGGGCCAGAGGCGCCTGTCCCAGGCGCAGCCAGCAGATGCTGCGGTTGACCAGGAGCGTGCCCTTCATCACCCTATCCTCTGCTGGGGTTGAGGCCAGGTCCGTGACCTCTGGGTACAACTCCAATGCCTGGAGAGGGTTTCGGGGCGGTGGAGAGGGGTGGGGTTGGGTGAATTCCCTAGCATGCGACAGCCTGTCCCAGGCGCAGCCAGCAGATGCTGCGGTTGGCCAGCAGAGTGCCCTTCATCACCCTGTCATCGGCTGGTGTAGCTGCCAGGTCCGCCTTGGGGTAGAGATCCAATGCCTGAAGAGGGGGGTTTGTGGTGGTGAAGAGGGGTGGAGGGGGGTATTTGCCTGCCTGCCCATCTGCCAGGGCGAGAGGCGCCTGTCCCAGGCGCAGCCAGCAGATGCTGCGGTTGACCAGGAGCGTGCCCTTCATCACCCTATCCTCTGCTGGGGTTGCTGCCAGCTCTGCTTTAGGGTACAGATCCAATGCCTGGAGAGGGGGGTTTGGAGTGGTGAAGAGGGGTGGAGGGAGTTACTTGACCATCTGCCCGTCTGCCAGGGCTAGGGGCGCCTGTCCCAGGCGCAGCCAGCAGATGCTGCGGTTGACCAGGAGCGTGCCCTTCATCACCCTATCCTCTGCTGGGGTTGAGGCCAGGTCCGTGACCTCTGGGTACAACTCCAATGCCTGGAGAGGGTTTCGGGGCGGTGGAGAGGGGTGGGGTTGGGTGAATTCCCTAGCATGCGACAGCCTGTCCCAGGCGCAGCCAGCAGATGCTGCGGTTGGCCAGCAGCGTGCCCTTCATCACCCTGTCCTCTGCTGGGGTTGCTGCTAATTCCGCTTTGGGATTTAGATCCAATGCCTGAGAGTGGGAGGAAAGAGGTTGGGGAGGGTATGAGGTGGTGGAGAGGGGTGGGGTTGCGGGGATCTCTTAGCATGTGATAGCCTGCCCCAAGCGCAGCCAGCAGATGGTGCAGCTGGCCAGCAGAGTGCCTCTCATCAGTCTGTCACCTGCTGGAGTAGCTTCCAGCTCTGCTTCCTTTGGGTACAAATTCAGTGCCTGAGGGTGGGAGGGGGTTGGTGGAAGGGTGGGTTTGGGTGGGCCTGTCCCAAGCGCAGCCAGCAGATGGTGCAGTTGGCAAGCAGAGTGCCTCTCATCACTCTGTCACCCGCTGGAGTAGCTTCCAGCTCTGCTTCCTCTGGGTACAAATTCAGTGCCTGAGGGTGGGAGGGGGTTGGTGGAAGGGTGGGTTTGGGTGGGCCTGTCCCAAGCGCAGCCAGCAGATGGTGCAGTTGGCAAGCAGAGTGCCTCTCATCACTCTGTCACCCGCTGGAGTAGCTTCCAGCTCTGCTTCCTCTGGGTACAAATTCAGTGCCTGAGGGTGGGAGGGGGTTGGTGGAAGGGTGGGTTTGGGTGGGCCTGTCCCAAGCGCAGCCAGCAGATGGTGCAGTTGGCAAGCAGAGTGCCTCTCATCACTCTGTCACCCGCTGGAGTAGCTTCCAGCTCTGCTTCCTCTGGGTACAAATTCAGTGCCTGAGGGTGGGAGGGGGTTGGTGGAAGGGTGGGTTTGGGTGGGCCTGTCCCAAGCGCAGCCAGCAGATGGTGCAGTTGGCAAGCAGAGTGCCTCTCATCACTCTGTCACCCGCTGGAGTAGCTTCCAGCTCTGCTTCCTCTGGGTACACATTCAGTGCCTGGAGATGGGGTATGGCTTGGTGAAGGGGTGTAGCGGTTGATTTTGAGAATTCTCAAAATCATCCTCTGGGTACACATTCAGTGCCTGGAGATGGGGTATGGCTTGGTGAAGGGGTGGAGCGTAAGGAAATGAAAAAGCACATCCTTTGAGCGTAAGGATGGGCGTGAAGATGGTGCATTAACATCCTTACGTGTGTGTGCACACAACACGCCCCATCCTTCTGAAGAAGGTAAATTCCTGGAAATGGAACATCCAATCTTCTGAAAGTGACATTTCCTGGAGTTGATGTATATATTACTCTGGCAGAGCTGTAAGAATCGATACTACACGCACCTGAGTGTATGAGCCGACTGCTTCTTGAATCTGCTGTGATCTGAAAGCGGCATCTCCCCTTGCCCTCGCCTCTGCCACTGCAGCAGTCACATACCCCCATCCATGCACTGTTCACAAACACATATACACATGCACACGCATAGCACACACGCACCTGAGTGTATGAGTCGACTGCTTCTTGGAACTGCTGTGATCTGAATGCTGCATCTCCCCTTGCCTTGGCCTCTGCCACTGCTGCAGCCACATCCGCAGATAGAGCAGACCCTGGGGGTGCAGCTCCTACCCCTCCTGCTCCCCCCCCTCCTCCTCCTGTTGACGCCTCTCCCTTCCCCCCTCCTCCCGCTCCTCCTGCTGCGGCTGCTCCCGCCGCTCGTTTCATTACTCCCTCCACCGTCCAATCCCCTTCCGCCACGTCAGCAGGCCGCTGCGTCACCGGCAGCAACAACCCTACAACCTCCTTATTCCCAGCAGCAGCAGCGGCGTCTAGTGCAGTCATGCCCTCCTCGTCGCGCCTGTCTGCATCAGCACCGGCGGCAAGGAGGGCTGAGACGGCGGGTGTGTTGCCTGCGTCGGCAGCAATGATGAGCGGCGTGGTGGATGTCACACAGGGGAGAGGGGAGGACGGAGCAGCAGCGGTAGCAGCACCATTGGTACTACTAGCTGCAGCTGTTGCAGCAGCAGCGGCGGCAGCGTTGGTGGGGAGGGGGGGGCCGCCTGGATTGGGCTGGGCGCCGTGCTGTGGGCGGGGGCAAAGGGGGAGCAGGGAAGAATAGGGGGAATTGGGAATTGGTACTACTAGCTGCTGCTGCTGCAGCGGCGGCGGCAGCATTCGTGGGGAGAGGGGGGCCGCCTGGGTTGGGCTGGGCGCCATGCTGTGGCAAAGGGGAGAGGGAAGGGGAAACAGGGAGTAGGGGGGTTAGTAGGGTTAGGACGGTTGGCAGCAGCAGCGGCGTCTAGTGCCGTCATGCCCTCCTCGTCGCGCCTGTCTGCATCAGCACCGGCGGCAAGGAGAGCGGAGACGGCGGGTGTGTTGCCCGCGTCGGCAGCAATGATGAGCGGCGTGGTGGAGGTGACACAGGGGAGAGGGGAGGATGGAGCAGCAGCGGTAAAGGGGAGAAGCGGGAACAGGGAAGTCTGAAACCTCTCACACCCAAAAATGGGTACGCTAAACCCAAAACCCTGTACACAACCCTGGAGTACCCCTAATTCCTTTGTATCCTGAACAGGTTGGTACCCCATCCAGCGTCACACTCTCGTCTCATCCCAGGTTAAACCTCTTCCTTTGTATCCTGGAGAAGTTGGTACTCTCAGCAGCACTGGCAGTGAGCAGCGAGTTCACGCCATCCTCGCTGGGCATGTCTGGAGTCCAAACCAGCAATGCACCCCACCCCAATACATGCTCCAGAACCCCAAACCCTGATCCTTAAACCCTGAACCTGCTAAAGCCCTGTACCAACCTTGAGCAGCAGCTTGACGATTTCCGTCTCCCCAGCAGAAGTGGCAGTCAGCAGCGAGTTCACGCCATCCTCGTTGGGCGTGTCTAGATTCCAGACCAGCAGTGCACCCGACCCCAATACATGCACCAGAACCCCAAACCCTGAACCCCGAACGCTGATCCTCGAACCCTGCTTACGCCCTGTACCTACCTTGAGCAGCAGTTTCACAATCTCCATATCCCCAGCAGCCTTGGCTGTCTGTCAGCAGCGAGCTCACCCCATCCTCGTTGGGCGCATCTGGGATTTGAGTTTGGCAGTTCAACCCTTTCGCCTCGAATCATGTACCCGGATGGAACCATGCACCTGAAACCCTGTTCTCTGTGACCTGCAGCTACCCTAAACCGTACCTTGAGCAAAAGCTTGACTATTTCCGTCTCCCCGGCAGCAGTGGCAGTGAGCAGCGAGGTCACGCCATCCTCGGTGGGTGTGTCTGGGTTGGCTCCCCTCGTTAGAAGCACACCCGCTGCAGCCACCTTCCCGTGACCGCACGCCCACAGCAGCGGAGGCCCGGCATCGCTCTGAGCGTTAGGGTCGGCGCCGTTGTCCAATAGGAGCTCAAGGATCTTCACCGAACCTGCGAGGAAATTTCGGGAGTTGTAGGCGCGTTAGGGTCGGCATTGCTGGCCAATAGGAGCTCAAGGATCTTCACCAAAGGAGCATCAAGAAGCGACAGAACAGGAAACAAAACAGCAACAACAATCACATAGGAAGCATTTGTTTCCCGTAATTTTAAAGGATGTGCTTATAATAAGTTGACTATCGTATCACCCACCATGCCCTGCTGCGTGATGTGTCGCCTGCGCTCCCTAAACCCGAAACCCAAAACCCTGAGTGGAGAATTTCGGGTTTAGAGTAAGTTAGCTATCACCCACCATGCCCCGCTGCATGATGTATCGCCTGCGCGCCCGACTTCTCTGCTGACGTGGCAACAGACGCCCCGTGCTGCACCAGCCACGTGGCAGCGTCTGAGTGGTCGTCCCTTGCTGCCAGCATGAGCGGCGTCTCCCCCTCATCGTCCTTCACATCCACTGGCACGCCTATCTCCTCCACCATGTACCTGCACATGTTGAAATACATACAAACGCACATACGCAGAGGTAAAGAAGCAAAACAGAAACACATACTCCGCATCAGTATCCGCCATCTTCCCCCTCATCGTCCTTCACGTCCACTGGAACGCCTATCTCCTCCACCATGTACCTACAGGCATTGAAATATACACCTAGTCATGTATGAGTTTTGGTCTTCAACTCTGACACACACGCATTCGTCTCCTGAGTCTCGCCCTGATCGTCCTTCACAACCACCTCAACCATCTACCTGGACGCATATAAATCCAATAATTAGCCCCACAGAAATAAAAGCATCGTCCCAACCCAATCACGTACCTGCACGCGTCCACATGCCCCTTACTCGCTGCAAAGTGCAGCGCCGTGCGGCCAATGGCTTCCCTCACCTCCTCCAGCACCTCCCTCGCTTCCTCCACTTTAGAGTCGACCCAAAACTCACCTCCCCAACCCAGCCACGTACCTGCACGCATCAACGTGCCCCTTACTCGCTGCAAAGTGCAGCGCCGTGCGGCCGATGGCTTCCCTCACCTCCTCCAGCACCTCCCTCGCTTCCTCCACTTTAGAGTCGACCCAAAACTCACCTCCCCAACCCAGCCACGTACCTGCACGCATCGACGTGCCCCTTACTCGCTGCAAAGTGCAGCGCCGTGCGGCCGTTGGCGTCCCTCACCTCCTCCAGCACCTCCCTCGCTTCCTCCACTGCAAGCTTCCCCTCGTTACTGTCACCCGCACCAGCAGCAGCGGCGGCAGCAGCAGTGTCAGTACTGACTATCTCATCAACATCAAACTCTGAAAGCATCTCCACTCCCCCCTTCTTCCCCTTTTCCTTCCCCTCCCCTTCCCCTTCCGCCTTCCCCTCCCCTTGTGCCTTCCCATCCGCAATCATTACAGCCACTGCTTGTTTCAACCCCTCCACGTCACCGTCTTGGGCAGCTTTCAGCAGCCGGTTGACTTTTTCCCGGGCAGCCCATGCTGCTGCTCCATCCTTCTTTTCACCTGCCTCATCCCCACCCTTTTCCTCCGCCTTCCCCGTTCCCCCCTTCTCCCCTCCCCCCGCCCCTGCCTGCTCCCCGCCTGCTTTGGCACTTCCATTCTCCGCTGCTGCTGCCGAAGCTGATGCTGCTGCCGAACCTGCAGCCTTGTTCGGGGAGGTTCGGATGGGTCCGAACCTCTTTTCCAAGGCTTCGGTGTCGGTTAGGGCGGGCCATTTCTGCGGGTGCTGCTTGGTCAGAGTCAGGACGAGTGTGGAGCCGTCAATGTACCAGGCTGAATCGGACGGTCGGATCTTCTCGTACAGATCTGGAGCGTTCAAGAGAGGGGCGGCAGCGCCTTCCTTCCATGCCACCTGTCAAGGAGGAAACATTGAACCTCAAGAAAATGTGACTATATAGAGGGAAACCCGTTGACTGTGCGCCTATGTAGAGACAACAGTTGATTGTGATTACGTAGAAGGTGGAAACCGTTGATTACGTGACAATGTGGAAGGGAAACCTGCTCATTATATTACTACGTAGAATGTGTTACAATGCAGTGGTTCAATGCGGCAATGGCGCTTCGTTATTAGCGTACACTGAAGAGTGTGCTACTACTTACTATGGCAGCTAATTAAAGCATGAAGAACGGGTTTCGAGTAAATGTTCATTGCGGAGGGTACATGAAGAGAAAGGCGACGAGAGATGCAAGTGTAGAGATGGATTCAGGAGTATCAAGCAGTGCCAGACGGTGCAATCCAGGTGAGAAGGGTACAAAGCGGGCAATGTAGGTAAAGAGCGGTACAGAGCAGTATCACACCTTGACGGAGGTCGGCTGTATGTCAATGGACAAGCGCTTTGCAACTTCTGAAGCCTTGATTTCTGCCGGCAGCGGGATTCGAACCTCGACCTCTTCTCGTCCGTCCTCGAAGGTGTGCATGGTTCCGTATTGGGAAAATCTAGTCAACTAACGAAGACGGAGTATGTCTGGAACGCAGAGGTAGGTAGCGATCGCGACGCGTTCGCTTGCGCTTAGAATGTGCAGCTGACGATCTCAGGAATCGACGACTAAGCGATCTAAAGCAACTCACTCGAAAGGTGCTGGAAAACAGTGATCAGTCACGAAGGAAATTTGATAGTTACGAGGTAGGGAAATCAATGGAATAGGACGTTTTATAAAGAGGCAGGCAAGGAAAAACGCGCTCTGGTTGATTCTAGGAGGCTCTAGACTGAAGTTCCTAGTTCAAGTCTTTGCGCTTACTATGTCTCGTTGCTTGTAGTTGCTTCGTTTCTGGAGCCTTCTGGAATTTACTGCCTGTGCTGACTGCTGCCGAAAATGGCATACGCTTCAAAAGGAGGCCCATGTCTCTTACAGTAATAGCTTGTTTTCTTTCTGCAGTTTGGTTGCATCAGTTCATGTAGCTTTCGTACTTGAGGGGGGTTTGCTTGGAGGTGCCCCAGCCTCGGATGGTGCGCAATGGGCATGATGAAGGGTGTTGAGCTGACGGCTGAGACGGCCCATTCTCCAATCAGAAACGACGAGACGCAACGTGTTCGGCTGTTCTAACCTCGATCGTCAATCAGCGGTTTGACGCCTGACCTATGAGAGGCTAGTAATGTTTCAACCAGCCGACAGCCCGTCAATAATTTCGCACCAATCGGTTTGCGAAATGTAAAATTTGTCGCCAAAGGCAGATTTGGCGGAAGTCGTGCGTTGCCTGATTGGTTGACACCTGTAACAAATGAAGTCGTACAATCGGCTGGAGATGGCGGCCGACGGATCCAACCGGCGCGTCGCTCCTTGATCAAGTCGAATCGAAGGGGTGCTTCGATCAGGAAGGGCAGCCAAACAAACTGGTTGAACAAAACTGATCACCCCACCACACAATTTCTGATGACGTTCCAGCCACAAACTGCCTCGGGACAAATTTTCCACTTCGGGCTAAACCCACTCTCTTATCTCTCGACCGTCAATCTTCTCATGGACGCCCGATCCAACGGCGGAATTGAAGCAAAAATCCTTCCAAGTAGCCCGTATGCACAACATAAAATTTCGTTTGTTCTCCTCGGGCCCCTCGTCTCCCTCGGGAAGTGCGTTCTGCTCTATGAAACGTGAACAGGAGAACAACGAATACATAACTTCCTCAGACGAAGCACAATTCCTCTAGCTGTTGTTTCTCGGTCCGCCATAACTTCTCCACTCTGTTCCTCTTCTCAACCTCCGTTTCTTGATCGCCATTCTTCCTTCCGCCGTTCGTTGGTTATTACTGTTCGACAGACTGTTTCCGATCGCAACTCATCTGATTCTCCGCCACATTCAGAGCATCTTGTAATCTGTTTCTCCCAGCTACGCTCCTCCGAAACGGAATTCTTTAGGTCTCTGTCCTTCCCTACACTACCCAGCCCAGTCCCAGTCGATCGGCTATCGTTCATCGCCCGATAGGCTTACGGTTGCTCCGAATTAAGCACTTGATTTCTCAGCAATTACACTCCCCGTCCTTCCATCGAACAGCAATCACGCTGTTCGTCAATTGCCCCACAGGTTCACCGCAGGACAATTCTCCCACTTTACAGCCTTCTTTCGAAGTGTTATCCAGTCAATTGAATCCGACAAAATCACCGCCATGTCTTCTCTCCAATCAGCTACTGCGCTGCTTCAACACGCGGGATCCGCAACTTCCGGCGCTAGTAACGCCGTGGCCACTAGTAGCGCCGCGATTCGCGCCGGGAAAACCGCTCACGATTCGTCGATCTCCTTGCGATCCAGCTTCCTTCCTCGCCTCGATTCGACGCTCACCACCACCACCTCCACCCCTTATTCGCCACTCCCTTCCCCGTCCCTTATCGCCGTCCGATCGACATCTGCGAGTGCGGCGGGACCCGCCGCAATTTCCGGCGGCCAATCACAGAACGGCGCCGTCCGGGATCGAGTGATAGCGATTCCGGATTTCGAGGCGGATTTCGCGCCGGAGGTGAACGGGACGTACGGGAAGGGCGGCAGCGCCGAGGACGATGCCGCCGCCATACGCGGCGGATTAATCGACGAAGGCCTCGTGCACAGGGAGCGGTTCGTCATCCGGTGCTACGAAGTCGGCGTTAATCGAAAGGCCTCTATGGAAACTATTGCGAACCTACTGCAGGTAAACCCTTACTATGTGATTCGCTTTACGGTGCATTTCCTTCTTTGATTCTCACTCTCAACCTTCCAACTCCCTTCTCTCCGCCTCCCAGCCTCTCCCAGCTTCCACCACCCCCCCTCCCTCTCTTTACTCCCTAACCTACTGATTTCACATTCTTTTCCGGCCCATAACCTCGGTCTGTGCGTGTGTGTGTCTGTCTGTGTGTAATCCTGCGGCCTTGACAGGAAATCGGGTGCAATCACGCGCAGAGCGTGGGATTCTCAAACGACGGTTTCGCCACCACGCCAGCGATGCTCGCGAATCGCCTCATCTGGGTTACCACTCGCATGCACATCGAGATGTACAAGTACCCCAAATGGTAGGTGATTTCTGGGTGTACTCTGAATTATGCTCGCAAATTACCTGATATGGGTTACCGCTCGCATGCACATCGAGATGTACAAGTACCCCAAGTGGTACGCGGCTATCTGCCTTCGCCTGTATCTCTGTTCCCGTTTTAAGCTAATCCGTAAATCTTAGTCTTCCGTTTCTGTAATTTCTCCAATTCTCCTGACACCTGTGTCTTGTCCTCTTTCCTGATTGGCTGCCATGTTGATTGCCACGTGGCAGGGGTGACGTGGTGGAGATTGACACGTGGTTCCAGGATGGCACCATCATGTCGCGCCGTGATTGGATCATCCGATTCGGCCACACGGGGGAGATCATCGGTCGGGGCACCAGGTAATGCTTGGTGGGAAGCGATTGGGCTATATCGGGTTTAGTGTGGTTGGGTGTGGCTGGGTGTGGTTGGGTGTGGCTGGGTGTGGTTGGGTGTGGCTGGGTGTAGTTGGGTGTGGCTGGGTGTGGTGTGATTGGAACATCCGCTTCGGCCACACGGGGGAGATCAACGGCCGAGGCACCAGGTAACGCTCGGTGTGGCGCAGTGTGGCTCGGTGCAGTGTGGCTCGGTTCAGCGTGGCTCGGTTCAGCGTGGCTCGGTTCAGTGTGGCTCGGTTCAGTGTGGCTCGGTGGGGCTCGGTGGGGCTCGGTGGGTTCAGTGTGGCTCGGTGCGGTTTGGTGTAACTCGGTGTGGATTGGTTAGGCTCGATTGGGAGCGGTGGCTGTCGGTGTGCAGCTAAGGTAATCCCTGCCCTGACCTGCGACCATGGGCCATGATGAATCGGGCCACGAGGCGTCTGAACGTGCCTGCTGACGTGCAACCTCTTGTCCCCCACTACTGTCCCTCCTCGCGCCTGGTGAGGTGTATTTTGAGGCGCCTCAAAATACACCTCACTGCACGCCTGAACGTGCCTGCTGACGTGCAACCTCTTGTCCCCCACCACTGTCCCTCCTCGCGCCTGCCCTCCCCTCCTCCACCACCCCCCCTCCTCAGTTCATGGGCCATGATGAATCGGGATACAAGGCGTCTCTCCAAGGTGCCCTGCCCAGTTCCTTCTCCCTGTTCTCACATCCGGTCCATTCCCTTCTGCACACCCTCCCTTCCCCCCTTTCCCCCCTGCTACCCCCATCAGTTCATGGGCCATGATGAACCGGGACACAAGGCGTCTCTCCAAGGTGCCTGCTGACGTGCGCGCCTCTTACCTCCCCCCACTGCTCCCCCCTGCGCACCCTCCCTCCCCCCTGCCCTCCCCCCTCCTCCCCCTCATCAGCTCATGGGCCATGATGAATCGGGACACCAGGCGTCTCTCCAAGGTGCCTGCTGACGTGCGCGCCGAGCTTATAGTGCACTGCCCCAACCCTGAAAGGTGCGATTGTATTAAGTGTGACTATATCGAGTAGGGAGATGGGATTGTGTCGAGCTTATAGTGCACTGCCCCAGCCCTGAAAGGTGCGATTGTATTAAGTGTGACTATATCGAGTAGGGAGATGGGATTGTGTCGAGCTTATAGTGCACTGCCCCAGCCCTGAAAGGTGCGATTGTATTAAGTGTGACTATATCGAGTAGGGAGATGGGATTGTGTCGAGCTGATAGTGCACTGCCCCAGCCCTGAGAGGTGGGTTGGTTTTTAAGTGGTAGTATATTGAGTGAGTGAGTGGAACTATATTGAGCTCTATGCACTGCACCAACCCTGAGAGGCAGGACTAATGAGTGTATATTTTGGAGTGAGCTTGTATTTGAGATGTTATCTCTGCAGTCTCCGGTCTCAGAGGTGACTGTTGAGGCGCCTCACTCATGCACATCCGGCCCTCCCTTTGCCCTGCTCGCTCTCTCCAGGTTCTCTATTCCAAAGAGCACCGTAGCAAGAATCCCCAAGCTCGACGAACCAGCAGACCACGTCCGGCCGTACCTCCGGGTAAGCCCCGTGTCATGCGCCCTGCTCTATGCCACATGCCCTTTACTCCCAAGGTAGACGACCATGTGCTGAGGTGACTTTTGAGTCGACTCAAAAGTCACCTCACATGTCACATGCTTTTACTCCCAAGGTGAACGACCATGTGCTGCCATACCTCTAGGTAAGCCCCCTGCGCGTCTAGTCCCCATACCCCAGGCTTATTCGTCACATGCCCCATGCCCCATGCCGCATGCCCCATGCCGCATGCCCCATGCCCCATGCCCCATGCCCCATGCCTCATGCCTCATATCCCATGCCCCATACCCCATGTTCCATGCCCTATACCCCATTCCCCATGGCCTATATCCCATGCCCATACCCCATGTTCCATGCCCTATACCCCATTCCCCATGCCCTATATCCCATACCCCATGGCCATACCCCACACCCCATGCCTCATGCCCCATGCCCCATACCCCACACCCCAGACACTATGCCCCATACCCCATTCCCCATTACGCAGACTTCAAACCCCCATCCAATCTGTCTTCCCCATTTCGTGTTTCTTCCTGTCATTTGACTTCCCCACCAGCCAAGGCGCAGCGATCTCGACATGAATCACCATGTCAACAACGTGACATACCTCTTCCCCTCGTCTCCTTTCCCCCTGTTGGATCTCTGTTTCCCCGCTTTTGAACCTCATCCCCCACCAGCCAAGGCGCAGCGATCTCGACATGAATCACCATGTCAACAACGTGACATACCTCTTCCCCTCGTCTCCTTTCCCCCTGTTGGATCTCTGTTTCCCCGCTTTTGAACCTCATCCCCCACCAGCCAAGGCGCAGCGATCTCGACATGAATCACCATGTCAACAACGTGACATACCTCTTCCCCTCGTCTCCTTTCCCCCTGTTGGATCTCTGTTTCCCCGCTTTTGAACCTCATCCCCCACCAGCCAAGGCGCAGCGATCTCGACATGAATCACCATGTCAACAACGTGACATACCTCTTCCCCTCGTCTCCTTTCCCCCTGTTGGATCTCTGTTTCCCCGCTTTTGAACCTCATCCCCCACCAGCCAAGGCGCAGCGATCTCGACATGAATCACCATGTCAACAACGTGACATACCTCTTCCCCTCGTCTCCTTTCCCCCTGTTGGATCTCTGTTTCCCCGCTTTTGAACCTCATCCCCCACCAGCCAAGGCGCAGCGATCTCGACATGAATCACCATGTCAACAACGTGACATACCTCTTCCCCTCGTCTCCTTTCCCCCTGTTGGATCTCTGTTTCCCCGCTTTTGAACCTCATCCCCCACCAGCCAAGGCGCAGCGATCTCGACATGAATCACCATGTCAACAACGTGACATACCTCTTCCCCTCGTCTCCTTTCCCCCTGTTGGATCTCTGTTTCCCCGCTTTTGAACCTCATCCCCCACCAGCCAAGGCGCAGCGATCTCGACATGAATCACCATGTCAACAATGTGACATACATCGCATGGATGCTTGAGGTGCGTTGCTGGGCTGCATGGGAGGGGTTACTGGGCTGCTTGGGTGAGCAGCTTGCTTCAAAACTCTTTTAGTGATTTGAACATGAATCATCACGTCACGTCAGCAACGTGACATGCATCGCATGGATTGAGGTGCGTTGCTGGGCTTCTTGGGGTGTCTTGAGTTGATTCAAATGAGATTTTGTCATTTATTATCACGTCAACTACGTCACCTGCATCGGATGGATGCTTGGTGTATTGATTCACTTGCTCCGACTCCGGTTGGGTAATCTATACCTCTAATTCCTATTCTCTTTTATAGAATGCATCCCCCATACGGTCCACTCCTCCTCCTTTTTTAAATCTATCGCTTCCTTTCTTTTCAACGTATGGCCTTGCTTTCTTCTCTGCCCTCCATTCACCACCAGAGCCTGCCCCAGTCCCTCCTGGGATCATCGGAATTGGCTGAGATCACCATTGAGTATCGCCAGGAGTGTGGGCAGGACGACGTGGTTGAAACCCTCGCCAAGGAGATTGTTTCACCTGATATTTCACCTGAAGTTTCACCTGGGGAGGGTGCAGCTGGGAAGGTGGTGTCTGGTGCAGGTGCCACTGCTGCAGCTGCTTCTGTTGCTGCCTCTCTTGATGCTGCCACTGCTGCTGCTGCTGGTAGCAGTGTTGGGAGAGTGAATGGTACTGCTGTGTTGGAAGGGAAGAGTGGGAACGGGAGCCTTGTTGCTGCTGCTGGGGCTGAGGAGATGGCGGAAGGGGGTGAGCAGCAGCAGATGCAGCAGTTTTTGCACTTGTTGCGATCACAGGAGTGTAAGAAGGAAATCAACAAGGGGAGAACGATCTGGAGGAAAAGGAGCCAATCGGACCTGTAATGGTAGCTTCTGAGGCGCTTCATAAGGTGCAGCAGTTTCTGCACCTGCTGCGGTCACAGGAGTGTAAGAAGGAAATCAACAAGGGAAGGAAGATCTGGAGGAAAAAGAGCCACGCAGACCTTTGAATGCTTGAAGAAGGGCCTGTGGTATCCTCGCTATAGGATGCGATGAGAGTAGCTGTAAGAAAACGAGTACCTAGATTGTGGTGGAACTTCAAATGAGGGAAGCATTGCTGCCTGTCTTAAAAGCGGAGCAATGGTTACGTGGTGTGGGGTACTTGCTATCGTGATTGTTGCTAAGGTGTATATAATTGATAACTATTTTTTGCTCGCACACATTAAATGGAACTCTGTACCGCATTTGAGTGCAAACAATACCCATACTGTTCTTGCATTGCCCTTTGACCCAAGCCGTATGCCTACCATAAGAAACGTTACCATTCCCAAGAATCCACATCACAAAGCCACACAAAACATGTCTCTCGTCCACAAAACTCAAGTTACAAGTTCGCCACTACCCACCATCTCAATGCTCTCGTTCTGAATTGCTAGTATGTCGAATAGCAAGTTCCATTCAGATTTGCAACTGTCCTTTTTGTCCCTCATTCCTCTTACTGCACCAGCTCGGCAATGAGACTCTGCTGTCCATTGAGGCGGAGCAGGAGGGAGAGAGGCGTGGAGGAGGAGATGTGAGCGAGCAGAGATGCAGCGAGGATGGAAGACAGCTGCATTTCCCCTGCCATTGCAAACACGGTGTTGGCAGCCCTGTTGGCAGCAGCAGCAGCACTGCCAGCGGCAGCGCCAGCAGCAGTAGCTGGAACTGTCAAATTATATATATATACCTGTTTAGGTTAGCTAGGCTGTATGGGGGTTAGCACTAGGGGGTACACAAAGTTCCTCGACACCCTAGTCTTGTACCCACCTTGACCTAATTCAATCACCTTTTGCCTAGGTATCTTAACATGGCATCTAGAGCAGGTTCTTAGGACCTAAGAGATTAAGGGCCCACCCGTTACCGTGTTACCAACGGCCTGCCTGCCTGTTAGCCTTATCTCCTGACCGCGCGCGCCTCGGCGGCAGCGCGCGTCACTTAATTTTTTCTCGCGCGCGTCTCTTATTTTTTAGCGCGCGACCCTGCTGTAGAGCCGCGCGCCGGTCGGCGTCGCCCGCGTAGCCCACGTCGAGCCTGCGCACCCCCCCTTACGCCGCCCGCGCGCAGCCTAAGCAGAGCCCGCCGCCCACGCGCGACGTAGAGCCCGCCGCCCGTCGCCACGTGCAGCCAGAGCCGCGCGCAGCACGTAGCCACGCGCAGCAGAGAGCCACGTGCGGCCCTTAGGGTTACGCAGCCAGCAGCCGCGCGCGCCCTACCTGTGTGCTTGCCTGTAAGGCTCCTTGCTGCCGAACCCACTGCCTTCACACTGTACGGCCTTTCACAGTCTAGAGCCCCACCTTCGGAGCTCGGGTGCAGCAAGTACTGCCCTGCACGTTGCCTGTACTGCCTACTGCCTAAGTTTTAGCCTGCTGCCTACTGCCTACTGCCTCGTGTCTACTGCCTGCCTGCTTTCTGCTGCCTTTGCCTACTGCTGTTATGACGACGCCTAATGTTCTCGCGTTCGAACCTGACGGTCGCCCCATAGAGTTCACTGTGTGGCTAGATGACCTGCAACTGTTCCTTCTGACTGATGCCAAAGAGGGCGTTTCACTGTTAGATTACGTGTCTGGCACTGCCGTTGCTCCTGCTGCTGATGCTCCTGCTCTCGAACGCTCGCAGTGGCAGACTCGCGATGCTGCTGCACGCCTAGCGATTAGGAACCATCTGCCGATCACTGAGCGCGCGCATTTCAGCCAGCATAAAACTGCTAAGACACTGTACGACGCTGTAGTTGCGCGCTACTCCTCCCCGGCCACTGCAGCCATAGGTCGACTCATGCTACCCTACCTGTTCCCCGACCTTTCCTCGTTCACCACTGCTGAGGACCTCATTTCCCACCTGCGCGCTACTGACACTCGCTTTTGTGCCGCCCTTTCAGCCGAGTTTTGCGCCGCAAACCCCCCCCCGATGTACTTCACTCTCTATTTCCTCGTCACCCGCCTCCCTGACACTCTTAGCTCGGTCAGGGACCACTTCCTAGCGCTAGACCCCCCCACTCTCACTGTCGACGACTTCGAGAAGCACCTCCTAGCAGCAGAGAAGAACATCCTCGCTGTAGGTGCTGCTCGTGGCACTCCGCGCTCTCCCCTCTTTGAGGGGTGCTCCCCCTCCCCTCTCACCCCCTCCTACGCCTCCGCAGCTGCTGCTCACGACTACCTTGGTGCTGAGGAGGTCGGGGCTGCTTCCGCTCCTAGTGGGAAGCGTCGCAGCGGCAGGGGCGGCAGGGGTGGCAGGGGCGGTGGGGGCGGCGGTGGAGGCGGCGGTGGTGCAGGCGGCGGGGGCGGTGGAGGTGGTGGGGGTGGTCGCGGGGGTGGAGGGGGTGGAGGTGGTGGTGGAGGCGGCGGAGGCACTGGGGGCGGTGGAGGGGGCGGCAGCGGCGGTGGGGGAGGAGGGAGCGGTGGTGCCAGTGGTGGTCAGGGCCAGCAGCAGCAGCAGCAGCAGCAGCAGCGTCAGCGCCAGGCCCCCACTTCCCAGCAGCTTCTTGACTGGTATGCCGGGCGTGGGGCTTCTGGGGGTCCTGGTCGCTGCCCCTATATCATCCGCACAGGTCCCCGCGCTAACCGCCAGTGCACAGGGTTTCACACGGAGCAGCGCTGCTTCGCTCGACTTAGCGACGCCTGGCGCGCCAAGTTTCCTGATGCTACTGAGTTCCCCAACTGGGCAGACTTGCTTAGGCGTGATGTACCAATCTTTGATCTTGACTATGAGGCTATTCTAGCTGCTATGTATGCATTGTCTGTTAGTGCTGAGGGTGACTGCTACTTGTGTGTGCCGCCGGATCCTGGTATAGCCCCTGGTATAGCCCCTGCAGCACTAGGTGCTTGTGAGTCTGCTCCCCTTGGTACTGCGCCTGCACAGGCCTTGCACACTTTTACACTTGACTCTGGTGCTTCCCGCTGTTTCTTTCGCGACAGTACCACAGTCACCCCCCTTCCTGCACCTGTTCCTGTCTCACTGGCTGACCCCTCTGGGGGCCCAGTGCTTGCACGGTCTTCCACTGTGCTTCCGTGTCCGGCGGTCCCGTCTGGTGAGCTGTCTGGTCTCCACGTCCCCTCGTTCTCTACGAACTTGGTGAGCAACACTGTCCTCCAGGATGCGGGTGTTGACACCTTCACCCCTGGCCGACAGCGTGTGGCGATCTGTACGTGCTCCCAGACCGGCCGCCACCTGGCCACGTTCACCCGTGCGCCAGGGTCCAGTATGTACACCCTCACCACTGCGTCGCGTTCCACCACTTTGTCTCCCCAGCTGCACGCGTCTACTCAGGTAGCTACCCAGTGTGAGTGTCGCCGGCTGTCTCACGACACTCTCCTGTGGCACCACCGCCTGGGCCACCCCTCCCTGCCTCGCCTTCGTAGCATGCACTCTCGCTTTCTGGTCTCTGGTCTTCCCAGGTCTCTGCCTGCCCTCCCTCCCTCGCCTGCGCCGCCCTGCATTCCTTGCGTCGAGGGGCGGCAGCGCGCCGCTCCTCACTCCTCCTCGTTCCCTCCCACAGAGGCTCCACTGCAGACTCTCCACCTGGACGTGTGGGGCCCAGCCCGCGTCCGTGGACAGGGCCACGAGCGGTACTTCCTGCTGGTTGTCGACGACTACACGCGCTACACCACGGTCTTCCCCTTGCAGCGCAAGGGGGATGTCCCTGATGTTTTGATCCCCTGGATCCGCGCTACTCGTCTCCAGCTCCGCGAGCGGTTCCAGTCGGACTTTCCTGTCCTGCGTCTGCACTCTGACAGAGGTGGTGAGTTCTCCTCAGACCTCTTGGCCGCCTTCTGTGCGGAGCACGGCATCCGCCAGACTTTCACGCTTCCGGCCTCTCCGCAGCAGAATGGGGTTGCTGAGCGCCGCATTGGCTTAGTCATGGAGGTCGCTCGTACCTCCATGATCCATGCGGCTGCCCCCCATTTTCTGTGGCCGTTTGCGGTCCGGTACGCCGCGCATCAGCTCAACCTTTGGCCCCGTGTCTCCTTGCCGGAGACCTCGCCCACACTGCTGTGGACGGGGAAGGCTGGCGACGCGTCGCGTTTCCGGGTCTGGGGTGCTCGTGCCTTTGTTCGCGATACCACCGCGGACAAGCTCTCCCCTCGTGCCATTCCTTGCGTCTTCCTTGGCTTCGTCCCTGACGCGCCTGGCTGGCAGTTCTACGACCCCGCCTCGCGCCGTGTCTTTGCGTCCCAGGACGTCACCTTTGACGAGTCAGTCCCCTTTTACCGCCTCTTCCCCTACCGCACTGCTCCTCGCCCTCTCCCGCCGCTCTTTCTTGCCCCAGGTCCTCCCCAGGTAGACCCCTTCCCCGCGCCAGGTCCTGCTCCTTCAGGTGTTTCTCAGGTAGACCCTCCCGTCCCTGCGCCTGTTGAGGTCACTGGTGACTCCGGTCCTGCTGGTGGTGGTGCTGTCCCTGGGGGTGTGGAGCTTGGGGGTTTGCAGCGTAGGCGTGCTGAGTCTGGGGGAGCTGGGCGTGAGGGGCCTGAGGGTACGGAGCCTGGGGGTGCTGAGCCTGCGCGTGAGGAGCCTGGAGGTCCTGCGTCTGGGGGTGCTGAGTCTGGGGGTGCTGAGCCTGCGTGTGCGGAGCCTGGGGGTGCTGAGTCTGGGGGTGAGTCGCCTGAGGGTTCTGAGACTGCTGTTCCGCGGTCTCCTTGGAGTAGCCGTCTTCGTCCGCGTGTGCCTCTCACCTCCCAGCAGCTGCACGACTGGTACGGTCGCCGTCAGCGTCGCGCTTCTGCACCTCAGGGTTCTACTGCTGGGGGTTCTTCTGCTGGCGTCACTGGAGCTGAGAGTGGTGCTGGTCCTTTGCCTGCTGGAGGTGTTAGTGTCGCTGGTCCCGGAGGTGCTCGTACTGGGAGTGCTGGAGC